GATGTCGCTGTTTAACAATAACCAGTTGACAAGTAAACTGTCCGTCAGTACTGACATAATAAATGGTGGTGTAGTGGTGAACCCATCAGCAGTTTGTGTGCAAATCATGTATACAAATTGTAGGGGAGTTCATAAAAGGCCATATGTATTTGTAGGGTGTTACTTCTTCACAGTAATTTTTGTGACTATCTGCATATGTATCACAGAGTATATCACACATTGTTAAAAAATATGTTTTTGTATACTACGATTTTGAATTGAACATTTAAAAAACTATAATATATATATGTACATATAATATTTTAATTTCTAATTGCATAGCGCATCCTCCGTTATCAGCTGATTGGTTATATACTAAAGCCCAAGAATAGATTTGTTTCTTAACTGCTAACTATCACTAGCCAGCCAAGTTTCTGCTGGGAAAGCGTTCCTTAAGGGGTGAGGTGAGTTTCAGAGGTTCAAATTTATATATATACATACACAATCATATAAATATTTAATTTAAACAATGCAGCATATCAAAGATACATATTTAAACAGTACTTTGTAAACTTTTTATAAAAAACTTCCGAAAACTTAGCCGTGAGTTAAGTTTTGAGATAAACGTGGAGGGTCATCGCTGGGAATTTCACTCAGATCGATTTGAAATTTTGGGAGAATATTTAAAACATATTGCACTCTTTATATACATATTGCACAAAAAAAAAAGATTTTTTTAAATTTTCCAACCCACCTAACCCCTTAACCCAAAAAAAAACTAGCAGAAGAGAGCACAAGATGATAGCGTGAAAGATGATTCTGCAGCTACTAGCAAGTCTAAAACAAGTGTAATGCTGGAATTAGTGACCGACATGCCGCCCTTCCGTACTTACCGTTTCCGTTTGTGATTTTGAGTTAGTTTAAAAATATTTCAAATATATTCAAGTTTATTTTTTTATTACTACAAGGCATCGAGAGTGGCAACCCTGTGATGTAAGAGAGCAATCAGCTGACTCGTTTCTACGGGAAAAATCCAATTTTTGCGGATAGGCCACGTAACGGCCGGTAGAAGTGGAGGGTAGAAGCGGTGCTGAGTGTTCATTTGCATTGTGCGGTGCTGAGTGTTCATTTACATTGTGCTCTCATAAGATAGGTCGTATCGTATTGTAAGTGAAGCATAAGGATAGAGATTGATATTACTCAAAGTTTTTATTTTTGGAGAATATATCATCAAAATACAAGCTTGAAGTAATGAATTTAAGAATGAAAAGGGGCAACATAGAAAAACTGTTTACAACAAGTGGTCAGCAAAAGCTAGCTGACTACACGTACACTTATGCTTTAAACACATAGACGACCGCACTTCACCACGTCGCGACAAATAATTTCCTTATCTGCAAATACCGTCTTGAAGACAGCTTCTTAAACATGTTGAAGATGGCAGCAAAATACCAAACAGCTGATGTTGCCGTAATAAAACCTTTCACTTCAATGAAATTTAAATATTTCTTCAAATTGATATTTTTTGTGAAAAAAATCAGTAAATAGGTCGGTTAATTTGTTTTAAATTATAAATTGTTATTACAAATGATATATCAGAGCGATTATCTGTCTATGTTGGTAAAATAGCGATAGGTTAGTTAGGAGCTTTGAATAACTTTACATTTCACATATTATTGGCACCACAACAGCTGCCATTGACATCGAAAAAATTAGATATGTATATATTTAATTTAGCGGCAGCGATAACTGCAAGTCTTAGTGAAGTCGTGCTGTTGTCTATATCTGTGCCGATAAGATCGTGGGAATTTTAGTATCTAACAGATGCTGCCTGTCACTTACTGTCTTCAGTCTGTTTAATGCATTATGCTCTATCATTCAGTCGTTGTCAAGCATTGTATAAACCTACAAGTAACAAACCTAAAATTTTTCACAAATACAGACAGAATTACGATAAGAATGCAATAGAATGAGGAAACTCAGAGAAAAATCTACCCTATAAGCCACATATCAATTAAATTTCCGGTTAATTACCCAACAGCGCTACCAGCGATTTCTGTTAAAGTTTCTAGGCCCAATTGTCAATTCTAACCGAAACTCTTGCGTACGTGGGATCGGTCTCCCCTTTCTTACGCAAAGGCTGTATGAATTTCACCGTATGTATGCAAATTATTTTAATGTATTGGAGTTTCGGTGGCCGTAACTTGCTGGATAGGCATTCGGCATGGGTTACCTAATAATTTTTTACTAATAAAACGGCCGAATGACACAAAAAAACATCAAATCTCGTAAAGTGCGTTAACGTTATATTGTTTTATATATGTATATATTATACATATATTAAGGCTGTGTGCCAAATGGTAGAAAACTTAAACTTCTGATAGATGAGAGCTCAGGAGCTAGGTAAAATGTTGACAGCTTATAAATGTGATTACAGTTATACATGTAAATTATAAAATATGAATTTACTCATAACTATGCATTTATTTATGTTATTATTTATCCCATTTAATACAGGAATTATACTTTTGATAAGGAAAGTTTTTGTCTTTTTCTGTAATTTTATTAATTAAGTAAGAAGTATAAAACAATTTTGTAGTTGATTGCAAATCTTAATGTATATATATACAATATATTTTGTAGAAAACTCGAAAAATCATTTCAATTGGCTAAACATTGGGTAAGCTGCGAGCCTCAATGGAAGAGTATGGTCCGCTTTAGAATATTCATATAAACATTAGAGTGGGTCAAAGAACACAATTTTTTTTTCGGTTTTTCGAAAAATTGGTTGGTAAACACCTCTAAGAAACGCTCTCCAAGTAACAGCTCTTAATAGTAACGGGAAAGTTCTCCGCTTTACCTTCATCTAGTTTTTTCTTATGATCGATAGAAAGATTCATATTTCGTTTCCAACTACTTGAAAACATATCTAACGATTTTGTAGAAAATTTAATACTCTGCAAAATGATCTCTGAAGGTTTTTTCGTAAACCTAGCCGTTTAAAAGATATTAACGGTTGAAGTTTGAAAAATCGGTTGAAATTTTAAAGCAAACTTGTTTTTTTCTTTTTAATTTTATAACGCAATGAAAAAACATTACTTTATATTGCATAGCTCATAGTCGTGTAAGAAATTTTCTGCTCTACAAAAATGGTCCACATAATTTTTCGATCAAGCTAAGCGTTTACGAGATGTTCATCGTCAAACATCAATGTATATCAAAGGAAACACACAAAAAATAAAACAAATAAGAAAGGACCAAGTTCGGGAGTAGCCAAACATTTTATGATCTTGAAACTTGCAAGGATCAAAGCAGGGAAAATACCTTCAGGTGATAGGAAAAGTTTATATTAAAAAATGTAGCAAAGCAATTTAACATTCATTATTCGACGAAATCGTAAATGGATTACATTCAAATTTGGTATTTTATTAAGTTATATTATATTATAGGTCACAGACTCACTTAGTTTTATTACTATATTTTACTTCGCCTGAGCTAAAATTGAATTAAAATCATTTTCTATTAATATTTATGGGATTTAAACTCAACTGAAAAAGCTAAATTTAATATAGTGAGTTGATGTGAAAACATCAACCAGAGCGATCGCAATTCATTAGCGAGGCCAAAGAATAAACCTATTTCATTCATACTCACACACAATTTTTAAGAAAACTTGTTCATTTTATTTTAATAAAGTATCAGGCATTTTATCATGTGAAAAGTCGGAAATTATTATACAGGCTATATTGGGTAGAGAAAATTTTGACATTGTTGGTGTATACTTGAGACCATATTTTCAAGAAATTTTATAAATATTTATATAACACATTGAACGACATGTTCGGCATAAGGTTTGTTAGAATACCGAAAATCCATATATGTAGTATTTATGAGTTGGGGTAGTTCGTAGACTAACTTCACATATTTTCGGAATTAAACTAAAGTATATCCAATATTTTACGTTCAGTTAATTTTGCTAAGATATCTTACATTTGACTGATATACTATATAGGTTTATGAGAGATAGGGGTATTGACCCGATTTTATCTATTTGAGGCAATACAACATACTTTTAACTGAATAAAATGCCCCTGAGTTTCATTAAGGTACCTCACATATTATCACCAACATATGTATATGTATAGAGTAAAATCAACCGGATGTTTGAAAATTCTGTGATTAGTTATATAGAGGCTAAATCAAGTTTTCAACTCATTTTAGGTACAAAAATGCACCATTATAAGAAAAATACATCCAAGTAATTTTATTAAGATAGCTCATATATAGGCCGATATATGCGGTATAAAGTAAAGTGAAAGTTCGAAATCTTATAGGTTTATCGTTATTTCCGGTGAAAAGTTAGCACCAGGTACTGAGATCCCCTTATTTGATAACTGGGGGCTTGAACAGTTATTGTCTGATTTTGACAATGTTTAGTCTTGAGATGGTATACCTTAAAGAAACTATTTGTGCAAAGTTTTGTCCCGATATATTCTTCGGCGGTTGATTTGTATACTAGTAAAGGTAAATGTAAAAATTATGCTATATCGGAAGTAGGCGGGGTTTTAGTCTGATTTCGCCTACTTTCACACTGTGATATGGGAATGTAAAAAAATCTTATGTGTGAAATTTAGTAGAAATATGTGATTTCCCCTAAATGTAGGAGGGGGTAGCGATTTCATCATCAAAAATATTTATTTTGTGCAAATTTGGGTCATATATATGTATGTCTTCCGGTTGTAATGTATTTAGTAAACTTGAAATCAATAAAATGAAAATAAAATAAAATTTTTAATAAAAATTCATTGAAAAAAATTACAAAATTCTCTAAAAACTGTTAAGAAGTATATATAAATATACATATTACTATATAAATATATCAGCAACGTATTGTTATTGAAAAAGTAGTCAAAATTAATGCAATTAATTATACAATAATATGCACTCATGCAAAAAGCACAACTTTTTTTTAAAGCTAAATTACAGAAGTGTAGGTTTTTGTTTATTATTCTAATTATATACTTTATTAAAAATGCTATTCTAATTGACATATTAACATGTGAAAAAAGCCATTAAGTTTAAATGTACATGTATATACAAAAGTTTAGTAGAAACTGTTTGTATACCCAAGAATGTACTAAAAAATTAATGGAAAGAGTTAACATAGAGAAACTACTAAATTCAGATACAAATTGTAACCAGAAACGGAAACACGTAAACTCTTGAAATCAAGTTGGTTTTATGGAAAAATTTAGTGAAACGGCTAGGAAACTGGATCAGTAAAAATTAATATCCGTTTGCGCGAGGATTATAGAATCAAGCAAATCAGACATCACATGATAAATTCAATGATGATAATTCAATGAAAATGAATTAATGAAAATTTTCAATTAACGAAACATTTGGCAATGCTTTATGTGTACTTATGAGTGTAAAAGTTCCTATCGGAATTAATTTAAAATTTGGTCTTTTCATGTCATATTGGAAATGTCTAATAGAAACAGATAAGAAACCAAGTTCAATTATTAATTATAATTAATAAAAATAATGCATTGTTATGTGCAATATGTACATATGTAAGCAGTTTTTTAATTTACAAAATTTCTCATTTTGTACGTACATATATATTATTATTGGACTAGTAGTTTTGTTTTGATTGTGTAGAGAGTGTCCTCAGATATTATTAAATTTTTCCTTTTTAGAAGAGAAATTGAATTATGAAAACCAAAACCGCTTGGGTGCTGTGTATTATAACACTTCTCCTTAGGCGACTGGCAAAAATTAACTTAACGAGTTCAACATTGTCGCACGTCGATTTTTAATGTGCCACGTGAAGGTGTCTAAAAATGGATATCACATAGAATAACGTGACAAAAGTAAAAAACAAAAGTTAAATCAAAATTCTCCAGGGCATAATTATAACTGTTTACTTTTGTATGGTTCATTTGCAGAATATTTTATGAATCCTGGTAAGGGGCAGACTAGACGAATTAACCCTTTATTTATTCATTAGAATACCTTTGGAATATTCCGAACATTTGGAAAGATTGACGAAACGTGTAATTAAAGTAACCAATCCATACATTCATACATATGCAACAAATATTGAATTGCATACATACATTTACCCTACCTATTTCTTTATATTAATCACAAATTGACGGTGGTAAGACGCATTTATTTAAGTTGAATTTAATTTTTACAAAAATACAATGGACAAATAAGCATAGAAAATAATATATACGACAATATCACTCTAGATGACTTTAATTGTCTATAAGTTCCATTTATACGACGTATATATTTTCGTATTTTGAGCTTTCTGGATTCTGTCGACAAATGAAGTCTCCTTTGAATAGTAGTTGCAAAAAATTTAATTAATTTTGCCATCGTCGCTAAATTTTTTAATTCAATACGACACAGTTTTGTCATTTTCTTGGTTGTAAGCTCTCGAGGCACCCATTTTGCACAGAGATTTCCCTTACTCAACTATTCATAAACGATACTTATGTATGTTGATAACGATATATGATAAAACATTCCTTTGACATCTTTAAAACGTTAGCTATTCGATTAAATTTATTTTACCGTCATTCCAAATCATGATGTGTATTGCATGGATGACATGATACGAAATTTTTTGATTCGAGAGAGAGCTGTCAAAACCCACATGTTTTTAAAAATATTTGTCGATCATGCCACCGTCGAGAGAAAATGGATAAAGAAGTATTTTAAAAATAACTTTTGGGCATTTTGCATTTCGATATTTCCGAGTAAACCTATATCACGCATATAGAGCCAACACAAATAAAAAAAACTATATCAAAGAAACAATACAACTCATAATAATATATCATGATTTTATGATTAACGTTTTAAATGCAAATATTTCGAATTTATAACAAAGATAGCAAACCAAATTTAATTGTACGTTATTCAAAAGTATTTCTGCCGTTCCTTGAAATTTCGTTTCGCACTGTTTTTGTCAGATACTTTTAGCGGGTTAATTTCTCGCAACCCGCCTTTTTTGAAATTAGCTGTTCAAAACTCCTTAATCTCCATAATCAGGAAAAAAAAATGAGATAAAAATTAGAGAAAATGAGAGAGTCTCGTTTCATGTCATCCTTGGTGGATTGTTTTGTGTTCACCCATATCCATTTATTCTGGAACTCCACTGCGTTCATCGTATTCACTGCTTTACCTAATTTAAGGCCCGGACTATACCAATCATACCAACTTGTCAGCCTTTTCCATAATTTCAAAAAACGCGGTTGTTTTTTACTTTCTTTAGCTACAGGATTTTAGCGTTTATATTTCTGAAATATGTTTTAAACTAATTAAATATCAACAACACAAAACATTTTATATAAAATTTTATTGTGAATACGTAATACTGAAAGTAAAGGTTTACACACTGTGCATATTGGTTTTGAATATGTTTTCATAATTTTACTATAAGTTATTAAAGCTGTCAGTTTTCAATATCCTAGTTTTTTATATTTACATCATAATATTTCACAAAATAAAGTAACTCGTATTTACATTACTAATTCTTATATATTTAAAAGTTACAATAAATTTGCTAGTATTCAAATTTATACGCCGATTAAAATTTTCTGTAACATAATATTCTATTCAACTTTATATTTTGTGATTTGACATTCCTGGTGGATTCTAATATACATTGTCTAAGTATTTCATTTCCGCTCAACTATTTTCTTCTACAATCTAATATATTACTGGAATACTAAAAGCTATTCCAGTATAACTTCAGAAAATAATCTTACAAATTTCTACTGATTTAAAATTAAAATATATTTTTATAAATACAATATATTTGGCTCACTTGACAATAATTTTATCATACAAACATGTAATTAGTATCTATGCATAAACGTATGTAAATACTTTCAACTAAAATCATCGTAATTATTTTTAATTGGCATCTCAATGGTTATTGGTTCTGATACAGAGCCACTTTTGTCAATTTCATTTGGCACTAACAGCTTTATTATATCTAATAATCATATACATAATGTATTTTCTTTTACTTTCGGTTGCGTAATATATATATATATATATAATTCCAAAATAGAGGTAATCAAAAAGCGTAGTAAATTATTCGGCATCATTACTACAAATTTCGCTAATTCTATAATATTATTTAATAATACAATTATTTGCTTTGTACTACATAATTAAAATCTAAAAGTAGTTACATTGTTTTTTGTTAACAATCAAAATAATTACATTCAAATATATGAATGTGTGTATATAAATATTTCATTGAGCTTCAAGTAAAGTACCTAACATACTAATTAACCGCTGAAATTATAGGACTACATGTGAACTATTACATTGCTTTATGGATGTATACATGTGAATAAGTACACAAAAATGATTAGCATTTTATTTTCGTATAGATTATAGAACTTAGATTTTCCTCTTTTTGTTTGAGAATTTGTTTCCTTAATTCGGATTTTATTGGTTTATGTTATTTCTCTAATATTAAAACTGTGTTTGTGAAACAATTAGTATTGTATAAACTTTCTTCAACTAACATACTAATTATTTCAAATTAGTTTTACAAATTATGAGGAAAATACATAGACGGAAAGTTAGAGAATTTTAAGCATATACATATGTATGTATGCAATAAGATGCAATTACGAGTGTAACATTTTCATGAAGTTCACAAGTCGTTCTATATCTTTAGTTTGCTCTTGAAAAAAACAGTTATAAAATCAAACCTTTGAATGCAATCACTTATTTAAATATATAATAAATGTACATATTCATTTTCATTGTTTTTCAATTTTCAATGCTACACTTGCTACCAAGTTCGCTTTTATATAAAATATAAAACGTATTGATAGAGTTGTACATATGTACATATGTATGTATATTATATACCTTCTAGTGTTATATAATGATGAGAATGTAATGAGAAGAACCGTAAATAGCGCGACTTGTGAACATCTTTTTTATTATATTGTATTGTACTTATGTTAACTTTTAGTTTCATTTTTCTCGTTCTACACTGTTAAATTATTAAATCATAGTATTATGTACATATATACTACGTATATTTGTTTGTAGATAATTTTTTTGTATAAAAGAAAGGGATGTCGTATAAGGCATTATGTACATTGTTGACTATTTCACTTTTTAATTAAACTATTCCCAAATCCACATATGTATATACGTTTTAACATTTGTCATTGGGATATAGAAGTTGCAATTAAATTTTCGACTGCATTTTTTCTTTAATTGATTCGATCATTAATTTCACAATAAGTTCGGATACTATAAATCAAGAATGTTAGAGTACAAGATTACTTTTGAGTTAAGAAGAAGAAGCATAGAACATCATGTAAAATGTAAACAAAAACGTAAACACTTTTGTTAATTTGGGAAATAGACTTAATTTATTAGTTTGTAGTGGAAAAATGTTACTGAAATTAATAGAATAATGTTACAGGAAAATACTTTCCCTTATCATGAGCGTTTTTTACTAAATAAATTAGCAAAATTGACATTGCTCTTTAAACAATTTTTCGCAATATTTACTTTCCCCCTTTTTGGTTTTGATATAATTTTTAAAGAATTTACATTGCTTTTTGATGCATTAATATGATTAAAAATATGTATAATTGTAATAAGTGTGCTTAAATGCTGAATTCATATAAACTGATTACAAGTATTAGCAAAAAAAATGTAGAACTCTTTTAAGTTATCAACTTGAAATAATAAGTAAATTCACAGAAATTTAGTAATTTTACGACAAACGTACAAATTAATTTGATTCTGCTGAACATAAATATTTTAAATGGTAATGAATGTCATTGTTTTTCATTTACTTATGTTATGTTTATCTTACGATTTCTCTTAAACATTTTGAGCAATGCTGCCACACACTTTGAACAGTGCATCGTAAAAAAATAAACTCATTAGATTGGCAAGCATAACGACAATTATAATCTACTAGCCTTCCGTAATAGGAGTGTTAATGTCATTTAAATTTAATTCAAAAATATATGGAAGGTCTTATTATACTTGGTACCATATTTAATTACCCACAAAAGTTTCCAACATAAATTGAACTGGCAATGTTTTTAAGGGCTTATTTTAGATATTTTAGTTTGTATTCATCAGAAAGCACAAACTATTTGAATAAATATTTTACAAGTTGAGAAACATACTAAAATCTGCATTACAACAACAACAGTATTCAAGAATTTTTGTTTTTAATCTTTAAATAATGCCCCATAATTGTACTTATTAAGGGCACTTTAATAGTATTAAATAACATCATGGAATAAAATTGATTAAGTAATCAAACAAATTATATATCATATAATAACGTCTCATCTCTAGATTTATGTGTCATTAGGAGGCGTCTGATGGCAGATTTCGGAAGAAGAGCGTTGGAATTATAAAAATAATTGAAGACCCATGCGCCAAAAAATGTTTGCCCGAATGTATTGGTTGGAAAATATCAATGCGTTATTTCTGGGTGATAATTTCGTTTTTATGCCACATGTATCTATCTATGTATTAATAATTTTAATATGAGCAAATTTAAATTTCTCCCACGGTTTTAAATTAAGGGCATTTACGGGTTTTTAAGTTTAAAAAGAGGTTATTATTCTTAAGAAAATTTTTTTCCTGAGATAATCTTAAACTTATATATGGGGATTACAATATTATTATCTAGAGTTGTAATGTTTAAGATATTCACTTGCTCAGAGTAAATATTTTCAGACTTTTGTGTATAACAATACAATTGCAAGTCACTCAAGAAATGAAAGAAATCGCAGGTGACATAAATTTTTTTTTAAAGAGAGAGGGGTAACTCTAAGCATTTCGATGTGTTTATCACACCCAGAACTTAGGAAAAACTTACTGTTGTTTTTCGCTATTAGTGTCTAGTAAAATATATTAATAAAAAAGATTTGCAATATGTATTCAGATAAAAAATATAAAAAACTGATTCACATATTCTTACAAATATATACCGTATATATGTATATGTTTTGTTGCCAACACTTTTCAATCTATATTTTGACAACATCTATCGAATTTATGTGCTTAAGACATCTTTGTTTTTGATAATCTTTCATATTTTCATTCTTACTATTAAAATTTTATTAACATATGTGTGTATAATGTAACCCTAGATAATAAATTGGCAAATCTCAAAGTTTATTTTTATCACGATCGATACTAATTGCTTTAAAAATCTTTTTTCCAATACCGTATCTTAAATTGAATTGGTCTAAACTTGAAGCTCTGGGTCTGGATATAGAGAAGGATTCAACTTCGGGATCTGTTTCACTAATATCTGCCTCAGTATCACTAAATTTTCGACATCTTGTTAAAATCGAATTACTACACTTAAAGTCAGTGGAGTTCGCACGTTTTCTTTCTTGTTTATCCATCTCTGCAGCAAGCATTTTTACCTCCCAATCGTTGTGATGCACATGTGCGAATGCATTGTCTTCCACATGTTTTTGCTCTATGTCTTTACCCTTAACATTCAATTTGCTAGAAGAAGAACTCGAGCTCGAACTATCACCAATATCTAGAACAACACTATCTTGCATGTTCAAATTACCGGTGAGATCTGATACAGAAACAACATAATTTCTCTTTTGTTGCTTGCCCGTAGTAATATTCCCTTCCGATTTATTTTTGTACAAACTTCGTGAAGAAATGTATCCAGAAGAGTCTTTGCAAACATTATTAAATAACGATGAAGAACTGTGTCGTTGAACTTGTGGCGGAGATGACATAAAAACCGTATCCAATGAGTCCCCACGCTGGAATTAAAATATTTTTACTTTTATTTTTTGGATCTTTTGATAAAGTTAATAAGTTGTTGAAATACCATAAAAAGTAGTTCTGCTGATGAACTGGAGCTGGCATGGTCTTCTGACTCTAGTTCTACATCAACCCATAATTTGCTAGGCTTATCACGGGTTAGTTCACTTTTTCTTCGTGGCGAGAATGTTTTTAATTCGATATTTCTAATTTTTGATTGGAGATTTGCAATGATTTCATCGCGTTTTCTTACTTCTCGGGCCATTACCGAAAATTGTAATTCGAATTTTAAATGCATTTCTGTAATGTGATTCTTAATTACATCATTAATTTCACTCCAAACACGATTGAAATTCTCCTCCACGTTAAGGATATCTAAAACAGAAAAAAATACAGTTGAAGTTTAAAATTAGCTCATTTGCCTCAGGCTAAATGGGTTACGTCTTCCCTCAACATTCAACCTTTCACAACACTGTACCCTTCAACACATCCATTCTATAATCCTACCATATACTTATTAAATGTAAATTTAATCTTTAGGAATTTTAATAATCGAAACATATTTGAATATGTAATAAAAATAAAAGTTATAAATTTAAAACAAAACACGGCAACACACTGTAGTATATTTGAGGCGTTTGGACGTTTTAGTGGGACATTTTTGCGTTTGTATTAGTGAAAATCTTAGGATTGGTTACTTGTAGATTTACACAATGAACACATCACACCAATATAACCCACTCACGAGAACAACATACCAATACACATAAAACCGCATCAACAACACATCATCCAACACACCATACAACCCACGCACATCCACCCAGCAGACCTTAAAGCATCAACCCGATCGGAAAACGGCCCTTTTTTCCTGATGGTGCACCGAAAACGTTCTTTAGCGGTCCGTGCGAGCCGTCACATGTTCCCTCCAAAAAGTGCAGTGAAACTTATAACTAAAACCTATTGAAAATTTAAGAAAAAAACCAATAAAGTGTATTTGAAAATTTAATAAAGTTAAAAGTATATAGTTTAAAAGGTGAAATTATAACTGACCCCTACGTATCGAGTGTTTAACAAAAAAATTAAGTGTGTTCTTAAAAAGAGGAAATTATAGTTACACCTATCTTGAAAGTTTACAAAAATATAGAAAATAAAGTGTATTTATATATTTATAATAAAGTGTATCTAAATATTGAAAATAAATTGCATTTAAAGATTATATAAAAACAAAAGGTGTTGGTTTCTTTTGACACAGGATCGTGGAATATAACTAGCCCGGACGTTACACGATGAAGAAAATGCTTTCAAGTTACAATACACTCACACTTCACTCTCTCACTTTTCGAACTTGAACGATAATCACATAGTTTTACAAACAAATCCCATGCAATTTGCGGGAATATAAATATTCATGGATTGGTATTAAAATATAAATAAATCAATCGATTTAAATCAATCGATTTCTGCAAAAATTAAAATGTCAGTGTCTTCCGAATAGCTTTAGTACAAAAAAAGTAAAGTTGAAGAAGCAATCTTGATTTTGAATATAATCTATGGTTGTTTTTGACAACGAGATTGCTTTTCTCAACTCATCTCTTTCTTCCCTTCCATATCTTTATTATTTTATTAATTTCATTCAAAACCTTCAAGGATTTTAATCGGTTTTCATGACAACGGCATCTTGAACTGATTATCAAGTTGCTTTCAGCCTACGTCACGGCTGTCAATTTAAATAAATTTTGACAACTTGTTTGTGTGATCAAATTGAAAACCAGTTCTTGATCGTGTAACTGCAGCGTAAGCAAGTAATCAGCCTAATTTTCAGGTCAAGCATAGGTTGAAATGAGCTAAAACAAATCGTTAACTTATGTTGCCCCCGTCGTTAACTTATGAAGCTATAAAACCCACAAATACAAAAGATTCCTTACGATAGCTTGTTTTTGAGCCTATTTGAACAATTTTTTCAAAGATTACATTATTGCCTTAGACATGACCCATGCCAAATTTTCTAGAAGAAACCTCGTGAAATTAAAAAGATGTCTATACAATATTCTAATCGTTAGTTTGTATGACAGCTATATGCTATAGTGATCCGATGTGAACAATTTCTTCAGAGATTGCACCTTTGCCTTAGACAATAATCTATGTCAAATATCTTGAAGATATCTCGTCAAATGAAAAAGCTGTCCACAAGCACTTGTTTCCGATCGTTCACGTATATACAGACGGACGGGCATGGCTAAATCGACTCAGCTCGTCATGCTGGTCACTATACCTATATATATATATTTTGTAGGGTCTCCTACGTTTCCTTCTGGGTGTTACAAACTTCGAGCCAAACGTAATATGTCCTGTTTAACGTATAAAAATAACTACAAATAACTACAAAGAACACATATGTTTTACGCTTATTTGGTGCAACTCATATGTATTGTATATGTAAAGCAATAATTTTTGCAAATTTATTTCATGGCAATCAAGATGCGGAAGTTGAAAGGCTTTGAGCTCATCACCCAACAGTAAAAGGAACCATTACCCAACAACTCCATGATTTGGTCAAAATGTTTAAAATTACATTAGACCGTATGCCATCGGGCAGCCAATATAGTCAATAATATTGCCAATATAATGGCAAAACACCTTGTGGTGACCATGCAGAGAATTCTAAATAACCAATGAATTGAAACGTGTGTCTGAAACGCATAGGTCTTATAATGAATTACAATATTAATTAATATTCTAGCAGTGAGAAGAGGAATACCATTTTAAAATCAAAATAGTTAATCAAATTACACGTCACGATATCTATACTAATATTATAAAGAGAAAAAATTTTATTGTTTGTTTGTTTGAATTGAAAGCTCCGAAAGTACTAGACGGGTTTAAAAAAATCTTTCATCGTTGGGAAGCTAAATTATCTCCGGTGAACATAGGTTATATTACATTTTCAAAAAAGTAGAGATCCTTACTAAACCGCCAATAATGTAACGCAAGTTGTGAAAGAATTACGTAAAAAAATACCTTGCATCACGTGCGCCGCGAATACTATTGATTATAGAAGAAACTAATGAACTATGATTTTGCATAACATATAATTATCCTGGCGCCATCCGTAATAAGATAGCCTTACTTGCGTAACAGGGGCTATGCGCAAGTGGACATACTTTCCCCTACACCCGTGAGCCCTAAACATGAACCAGCATAATAACGAAAAATAAATGAAGTAGTACGGATCTTTTATAAAAAAAATCCGGAAGGAACTAGTACCGAAAAGAAAGCAGCGTTTGCAATGAGCTCGAAAACAGCTAGCACAAAGACAGGAGTGAAGCTTGGTCTACGTGCAAGGGCTGGCATTAACAAGGGAGTTGAAGCTAAGCCAATCTCCCGGAAGGCAACAGCGGCAGCCGGAATCAAACCCGTTTTTAAGGTCGATGTCCCAGTGAAAGCAAGGTATGCGGAGCAACGACATGCTGCCTACCTGTTGAGAAGGATGCAACGGAAACGTCGATGAGGAGCTTACGAAGGAGCTCCAAGAATCCATTGATTGCGTAAAAGCAGTCTTGCTTAATTTTAAACTTGAACTGCCAACAGTGGCAGCCAAACGGCAGAGGTTAGCAGACAAACGACCGAAGACAACCAGAGTATCGCCCGCAAAATCGTTTGCTGATGTGGCCTGGAACCGCATTATCATTGGGGTGCTGGATGAGGGAGATCCCGAAGACATTGGAAGTGCTTTTCAGCAATTCAGGTCCGCCACCATCCTGCACAGAAGCTGGCTGGGAGAGATCGGTCCAGCTTTATAAGGTCGCTATAGTCAAGGTTGGGGAGGTATACCCCGGAGCCAGGCTGGTAGCGGTCGATAGCAAAGACATCCCATTCCAAACAAGGCCAAGGGTGTGGATCCCGGCTATACCATCTCAGCCGGACCAGATAATGCAGCTCATCAGAGCCTTCAACCCAAATCTGCTAACTGAGGGGTAGGGATTCATTAAAACCTTTGAGGACCCCGCAGCAGAACCTGTTGGGGAGACTTAAAGGGCCACAATGCAAATCCTACTGCTACTAACAAAAGAATCAATAGAACCGCTGGCGAAAAGTGGCGAGGAGATCAACTATCGATACGTGAAAAAATATCATGACATACATACAAGTCAGACGCCGATGCCGCAGACTTAGCATTGGGAAATGAGATGGGTGAAGTCTAGGATGATCCCATGGAGTCCTCGAGTGATGTAAATAGCATTGAGCAAGGTGAGTGTTCTTTGGGGTCTGAGCTTGTTGACAGACTCTCTAAATTATATACTTAGAGAGAGCTTCTGATTGACTCTCAAGAAGATGCAGATAAGATAAAAGTTAATCCGTTTTCTTCAAATTAATCTCCACCAGAGCAAATTAGCTTCTTTAGTCGTAACTAACCGTACGGCGACAGAACAGCCTGATTTCGTACTCATTCCGGAGCCATGGGTTAATGTACGAGCATTTGCGGGCTGAGGGCACTGAATAACAAACTAATTGCGAAGATAAGGTTAGAACATGTATATTGGCTGAGAAAAACCTTAACGCTTTCAAATTTCATAGCTATAGCAACCAAGACACCACAGCAATAAGCTGGGAGGTGCTCGATTATACTTAGCTGCAACTCTAATGCACACCATACACTATGGGGCAGCAGTGACATGAACGAAAGAGGTGAGTTGCTCTTTAATTACTTACTATATAACAAGAAATCGACGGGAGGTATTGGACATAACACCTATGTCGGGAGAACTAATAAATAAAATGACCGAAAAGGGAGTTTTTAAGGAACACCCCTTTTCGGATTACTGGTACATTGAATGTATAATTGAAGAAAATGTATCCAGGGTAGAAAATATCAGGAATCATAGGAAAACGAACCTGCAAGAGCTGAAGCAACGTATTCGTATGATTCCTCCATTCCAACCCGAGAACTAAGAGGACCTAAACACCCTCGTTGATCAATTCACGGTATCGTGCCGGCAAGAATTAGTATTGGCTTGTCCAATAACTCGTAATAGGGGAAGAATTATTCCCCCATGGTGTACTCCCGAACTCAAAAAATTACGGAAAGATTGCAGAAAGCAGTTTTACCTAGCTAAAGTATCCTATCCCAAGGCGAGGAAGATTGGGACAGATATTACAACCTCCTAAGTTCATACAGAAAAGACTTTAGGAAAGCAAAAAGAAATTTTTAGATATATAAATTAAATTAAATTAAATTATTCCTAAAGGGGCGCTGATATTCCTTTCATTTGGAGGAAAGTCAAAGTGATATATTATATATACCAAAGTCGGGCGAAACCTCACATATACATAAGTCCAAAGGATTTCAGACTTATTAGTCTTTCCTCATTCCTTTGATTACACCATAGCAGCCTTCTTAGACATAGAAGGCGATTTCAATAACACTCAGCCTAGGGCCGTACTTAGCGCGCTTAAATATTTGGACATCTTTGAACCTCTCAGAAAATTTACTGAATCAATGCTCACGAGCAAGACAATTATTTCAACGCTAGGAGCTTCAACTGCAAGCAATATTAAATGACATAAATCTTTGGGCTGTATCATGCAGACTAATCTTAAATGCTAGTAAGACGGAGCTAGTATTGGTCCCTAGGGAATACAGTACTCCAGAAGTTAAAACGCTACAGCACCTTACACCTGCAAAAGGATGGTGGGGCCAAATGAGGATCAACGCCTCGGGTAGATAATTGGCTCTACACAGCAGTTGTTAGACCGATTATGGCATACGGTATATTGGTATGGTTGCCAATAATGAAAAATAAATACGAGGTAAGGCGTATGGAAAGAATACAAAGAGCAGCTAGTATATGTGTCAGTCGAGATCTTAGAACAACGCCAAGTCAAGCACTAAACGTCATTTTAATTTACTTGCAACAAACTTGTTCTGTAAGCAACTGGCATCAAAGTCAGCTCTTAGACTAAGGGAGTCCTCCCAATTGGTCGCCTGTAATTCTACCAATTACCACAGATTTTCGAAATCTTATAGAATTTAAACCAAAATCGATTCCCAATATTGCCTTCCCTTGCGAAAAGAGTGGAAAAGGAGCGAGGTGGACAGGGACGTGGAATAAGCATCTATACGGATGGTTCCTAACTAGATAATCGAGTGGGAGGTGGTGCCTTTTCAGCAAAATTAGATACCAAAATCGTCTTACGTTTACCAGACAACTGTAGTATCTTGCAAGCGGAAAACACAGCACTTAAAGAAAGTCTTGTTGTTCAGACGAAGTGTGCTCACAACAAGGAATATATTATATTTATAAATACAGATAGCCAAGCGTCTTTGAAATCACTAAAGTCTCCTAGGAGTTCGTCAAAGATAGTGAAAGAATGCCTTGATCTCTTAGTGGATTTAACATCCTATTTTACGATAAACCTGCAATGGATTCCAAGGCATATTATATATCACTATCCAGAACAGCCACTCCCCTACAATTAAACTCCTCGAAATGCCTCGGGCCACTTGTAGATAATTCATCGATGAAAATAAATTTAGTTGAGTCTCGGTGGAGTCAATGACTGACTTGCTTAACAAGCAGGCAAACGTGGTATTAATGGAACAGGGTCCGCACATGCTGACTATTAATTCAAAAGGAATGGCATAAGAACTCTAGTAGGAGTGCTAAGAAATCATTGTTTAATCGACATACATGATAGCAGACTAGGTGAACCACACAATGACTATTGTCAGGAGGTAGAACAACAAGAGACTGTAAAACATCTTTTATGCGCATGCAAGGTTTTTTACAGGAAAAGAATCGCAACTATCGGTCGAGGGTTTCTTGACGACGTTTCATAAGTTACACAAATAAAACTTTTTGTAATGATGAACTTCATTATAATCACCAGGTGGTTTAGAGGGGATACAACAGAGTGAGGGAATATTAGTCCCGGTGGTATCACAATGGGTCTCCTAAAGCCCTAGGGGCATCGTCAGACAGTGACTGGACCCACCTAGGCGTCATCGGCGCACGGGAGGGGAGTCAATGTCAAGATTTAAAAAAGGAGCGGTAGTGTTCGGAATTGAATATAACTAATAAAAGGATTTTCAAACATTCGGTTGACTTTACACTTTATATACACATTGGTGAATTTGTGAAAGTATCTTAATGAAACACAAAGGAAATTTTTTGCTAGTTAAATAATATTTTTAAAACTCAGTATCAATATATTTATCTATATAATTGTTTATCCTTCATTATTCAAAGTGCTGAAACTAACAAAGATATTAGTACTATCAATTTTTATTAATATAGGCGGATAATCCGTAAAGTTGAAGGAACACACACCTATTTTAATGTGTCAACGGCTTTTAATCAAAGACTGCGTATATCGATGATTCCAACGGATTTACCATTCAATTTGAATGCAACATTATTTTGTCAATTCCGAAAGTTAGGATAGATGATAAGAAGTTCACCGGGTCAACTAGTTTTCCAATGTAAAATAAAAAAATTCACGTGATACATAACGTTTTAATAGATAAAACAAAAAATCTATTCAATTATGCAAGACAATATAGAGCAGATCGAACGTAACCCTATTAACAACTTAGCACTTTTAAAAAAATTTAATTAAACAAGTAAGGGATGGCTAAGTTGTTGTACATAACCTTGTACATATGAAAATCTAAATGTTCTAAGTTAATTTTATTGAGATATGTATCTACATATGTATGCAATATAAACTCAAAACGAAGGAATGAGACTTAGTATTGTACTTTGAGTATATGAAGGAAAAGTCAACCGTGGGGCTGGACATCACTATATTAGGGGTATGGTGTCTAGGTTAAGAAAACAAGAACAAGTAATTTCCGTAAAATATCGACCATATTAACCAAATGGGTACGGTATGGGACCCTGAAAAGTTATGTCCCGATTTTTAGGAGATGGGTGCCATACGTTGAATGCAGTATGTGTAGAAAGTTGTATTCCGAAATCTTCAGTGGTAACTTATTTATATATTTTCAGTAAAAGAATCAGATTGGATTTCAAATTTTGTTAAATTGGAAGTAAGCGTGGTGCACCTATTTTGAAAACGTATTATAAGGATGCCAATATAATGTTATGCACCAAATTTGTTTGAGGCGAGTTGCTGAGATATTGCCCAATTTTTATACCAATTCACATGCAGAGGTGTATTATCTTAAGTGTAAAAATTTGTCCCTCTAACATTTTTCTTTAGCGATTTGGAGCATTTTTAGTAGTTCTCATCATAAATTTCGTAAGAGTGATAGAAATGTTTACGAATTTCAGCCATTGTCCTATGCTGAAAAGCCAGAAGAAATTCTTCCAGTAAGATTGGTTGATATAGCTTAGGGGATTAGAAGGAGATATGTACATAAAACATATCCCACCTAAAAGCAGTACAGAAGTTTACCCCGCACAAATCGTGACACATAATTTATAAGTATATAATATATTCTTGTATGCATATGTAGATTATACTGATTATTGATAAGAAACAAGGCGGTTTTTTCCAGAACGCACCATGTGGAACGGGTAAGACCTCAAATTCAAACCCTTGGATACTTATACCAGTAATAATGTTTTCGCCTTTATTTGTAAATAGTATTTTCACAGCATTAAATATTTTATTATACTAATATTTAATGTATATCACAGCCACAGCAATGCGCGGACAGATCTACTAGTTATTGAATAAAGGAAAATCACAAAAAATAATTATGATTTACCTCCTGTCCTCAACGAGTCTCCAATTGTTGTTTTCAACCGTTTTGCTGTGCGTTGATTAGTGTGGGATGAGCTCGGAGTATATTGCATCACATTATTATTAAGTTGAATAGTATTTCGTCGTTTTGAGACGGCTTTTATTTGAGTGCCACTGGATACTCGATTTTCTGGGCATTTATTCAATCCAAAAGCGGAAATTGTGGGCGCGCGAGAAATCTTTACGTGTTTATCTTTGTCTTCACTAGTCGTTCGCAAGGCATCATATTGTTCATCTTCATTAAATCTGTAAGCGCTGTTGGGTGGACTAGAAAGAGTTGGTTTGATCGTTATACTTTTCATTAGCATACTATGTCTAGCCACATACCCTTCAAATGTCGGTTCTCTTAGTAATATCTTGTTGGGCTTTTCCGTCACGCGAGAGTCTTCATTTCCACTTTGAAAAGCACTTTTACATTCCTCTGAACTGTGACGGAGTTTCTGTAGAATACACTTCAACTTTCGGCGTTCAGCAGTTTCATTTTGCTCGGGACTAAGAGGCAAATAGGCAGGTGGTATATATTTGTATTTCCTCTCAATGTTGTAATTTGACAGAGATGTGTTCGTCGAATTAGATGAACTGGATTCATAAGCTGTAAAAAATTGCGAGTACATCTCAGAAACATCACTGAAGCAGCGATACAACGGTTCTGGCACTGCGAATTGGCTACTTATTTTAGAACTGTCTAAGCTAAAACTTCGCATCTGTAGTGCCTTTTCAAGTTCTTCTAACTTCTGACGTTCGTTCAGAATTTTTAGACGCTTTACGAATGGTAACCCACTATACTCAGGCGATAAATCAAAAACAGAGTGATACGATTTTCTGCTTTCGTTGAAATGATTTGCTGATACAGTTTTCTGTGTAGGCTTTGTATTTAGGGAGGTTGCAGTTACAGAATGTAGGGTATTTGTGGATGGTGTAGTGGATGTAAAAACCGATGTCCTTTGAGAAAGCGTTTGGGGTATTTCGTTTGATGAATATGTTTTTGCTTCTACGTCTGAATCTCCAGGTGAAAATTTCGCTAAATTATTAGAACTTGTTGATATTATCGTTGCTAACTTAAGTTTGGACCACGGCTTAATAGACATATCACTATCTGAGCGTTTTGATGAGATGTTTATGGACGGTTTTATTAATTTTAATGACTTTCCTGCTACCGCCTTTGGCGATTTATTTATTGCACCTAGATCGTGTTTAATATATTTCTGCACATCAAGTATTTTTGGAGTCTGCTTTTGATCTATATCTATAGTGGTCGATTTATCGTCTTTCAACTTGTAATTCATAGGATCTGTCTTCGGCACTCCAGCGAAATTAAGCATTTGTATCTTTTGCTTTAAAGACACAGCAGGATTGGGTTTAACCTGTGTGAATAAATTAAAGAACAAAAACTAATATAAAATTCATTTTTTATATAGGTATGCAAATGTGTATTATATACTACTAAATTATTTTATGTTATACTTCTGTATTAATTGGATTTGATGCTCTTATATAAATTTCTCTTAGACTAATAGAACTCTCCGATTTTACAGTCACTATTCAAATCTGACGGCATACATATAATTTATTTTATGTTGCTTAAAAAAAAATTGAATTATTATTTTAATTAAAATTCATTTTTTATTTTGTAATCCCAAATGGGTAACAGAAAAATTTAATTCCTCATACCGGATTGAACATAAATATCCTTATCCCAATAATAAAAATAAAAAATATAAAAAAAATTTAATTCCAAGTATATAATTAAGAATTAAAAACAAGAAATTGTTTAAGAATTAAATAAATAAATAATAAATTTTTAATTTAAAAATCTTATTTTTAACCCCAACATTGTGTTAAAGAACTTAAAATTTAATTTTTAATCTCAGCATCGGGATTAAGAAATGTAAATCTAATTATTAAACCTAACATCTTGGATTGATATTCATTCAGATGTTGGGATTAAAAATTGAAAATCTAATTTTTACATTGTTCAGACGCACAATACTGACACGCCGTATTCACTCACTCACATTCCACATCAATACAAGACGCACCAACTCATACACACAATACAACATCCACGATGACACTACACTTCCGAATTCCACAACCGATCAACTCCATACAACAACAGAAAGATGGATGGCGATCGGCCGGGTCTAGGAGTTGCGCCCACTTTTTTTCTCGGTCGTCCGCATGAACTTCTTAACATATAACTAATATAATATATTGTGAAAGCAAGTGAATTTATTTTTATAATGTTCGGGAAACAAATTGAAATTATCATTTTATTGGATATAAAAAGCGGGAAATTTCGCTTTTTTTAATTTTCAGCTTTTGAACCTTCTCTTCATCTGGTGAGTGTTTCGGGAGCAAAGTGAGGTGAATTCTTCATTAACAAAGTGAACAATTCATATTTGCAATTTAATTTCTAATATTTAAGTGTCTAACAAGTTGATAATAAAAACATGTTTGTAAAAATTATATCTTACTGTAAGCTTCACGTCGCTGCTTTTCGTTTCCTGTTTATTCCTTAACATTTGTAGTCTTTGCATCAGTGGAAGTGCTTCGTTTACTTCAGTCTCCGGTTCTTCCTGGATTGATTCCTGTGGTGATAGTGCATTGGCAATATGAACATGTGGGGGAGATATCTGAGGAGGGATTGCCTTTGCCGTTTTTTCTTCGCGATCCTAAAAAGAGAAATAATAAGCATTATATGCATTTCACTTCAAATAATGTTATTTAAGTTTTGAAATGTTATAGTAAAATGAATAATAAAATAATTGAATGCAATTGATTCAACATTTAACTACATATGTTATATTAAATATATTTTCGCTGGGAAAAACTCAGTCAAATCCTCAACAGAATGGCAATGCGTATGTATGTAAGTGTCTCTCATTTCTCTCCCTCATGTTGTTCTGTTTTTGTCTTTTTGTGATATTATATTTATATTTCACTTGCAGTTTATATGAATTTCCATTTATTATGGTACTAAACCATATACAACAGTCGCCCAAGAAAATCTACATACACGCCTAAAAAGTGAATTATCAAACATAACAAACTTATTCCAATTAAGAGTAAAAAGATATTTTGGATGTTTGTAAAATATTTTATATGTATTTATTAAGAATATTTTATAAAAAATGTTTCTAAAACAAGAAAAGTCTACGTATTCCAAACAGAATTGTATTTAGTGAGTCCACCTTGGCTCTGAAGAACAGTGTTTAGTATTTTCTTCACCATGTTATATGCAATCATATCATCCTTTGATAAACGGAATTGGTAAGGATCGGCATGGAAATATGCCGCGGACAGCCCAGACCATGATGATCTGGTCATGATAAAAAACAACTTTGACAAGCTGATCTTCAATAATAACAATCGAGTAATAATACACAAATAACTTGAGGATAGACTAAATAAGCTCACTAGAACAATAAGCTCATTCTCCTCCAAGTGAAGCTTATCAAAAAAGAGTTAAACAATATTAGATATGCAATTCAATGGGAAACGTTGGTAATTATAAATTCTTTACTCTTAAATGAAGTTAAGTTGAATGAATTCATAGAAATATTTGAATCAAGCAATATGCCACCAATGTCAAAAGAGGAAATGTTAGAATTTTCCGATATATCCATTTTCCACAATACAAGGACACCCCTTTACATTGCTAAGATACCACATTTTGATAAAATTAAATACCAAAATATACTTTTGAAACCAATTTGTAAAAATAATTGAAGTAGCTATTTAGAATAATATCCCACAGATTGAACAGATTGGTAACAGCCTCATCTTTTTAATCAAACAAATGGAATTCATCTTATAGTTCTAACAATTTTGGTATGACATAAGTGCATATGTACATATATAACCTTAGATACATATATATGTACATATATATATAGATATATATAATATATAAATTAATTTATAAATATAAATTTATAATTTTTAGGGTTTGCACTGAAAATTTAGAAATATGTGTTATTCTCCCCACCTGTTTCTCTTTAAGTAATCGTAGCCTTTGGAGCAACGGTAGCCCTGCACCAATTGGACTAGGTGTTTTGTCTTGGTTCGTTTTTTCTTCTTTTTCCTCTTTCTCTTCAGAACGTACATGTGACATTCGCTTCAGAGTCGTTTTATTGCCTTTCTTTAAGATTTCTTGCAGCGGTTGTATTTCTAACGATTCATCACTTCTTCGGGTTCTGAAAAAGTACGCATTATTCTTAAATACCTGCTTACTATAGAGTTTGTGTGATAAACATATCTACCGAGAATTGTTAAAATCATATTATTTTTCTGGTTGTTATAACCTGAAATAGATTTGGGTAGTTCACCTTGTCTTTTTAAGCATACTTCGGATTCCTTTTACATCTTTTCTTAATTTGTACACGATTTTTTTTGAGGCACTATTTTCGCTACTATCGCTTCGATTAATATTGCTATATACATGTGGATGATCCGATTGCGCGTTATTACATTGTGCTTTTGCGTGCTTCTTATTTACACATCGAACTTCCATAAGCCGCTTCCGTCCAAGAGTTTGTAAAATTTCTTGTGCTTCGGGGTAGTCCTTCATAGCGGCGAGTACATCTTCTCTCGACAATGAAAACAATTCAGAATAACCCACTGAGCGTACATCAGCCGTACGCCTAGAATACAAAAAAAAAATTAATTGTATTGTTTAGCTTTTGAACATTTCACAAACTTATTAAGGCCATCCAAGTTCAGAATTCCGATTTCACCGAAAAAGTCGCCAGCCTTCATTGTCGTCAGCACTTTACCGGTTTCACTAAGCACTTCCAGTATACCATCAGCTATTATAAACATTTCTCTGGCTACCTCACCTTTACGGCAAATGGAGTCTCCTGGTGTAAATATATATGCTTTCATTTTCAGTACCAAATCATGTAAAAATTCAGGTTGGCACTCTTGAAATATAGTGACTTTTTTTAAGACACTCAAGTTAACATGTAACGCTAGTTCTGTTTTCAGCTTGTCCGGCAGTAAGCCCAAAGCTGTGTTTATATCACCTCCTCCTTGAATACGTCCTCTAGACCAGCTGTAGTCGTACCAACGCAGCACGCGCCTTTTCATTCCACCTGGAACCTACAATATTATATTTATAATTATTTTATAGTATTAAAGTTTAACAAAGAAAATTGTGCTAACAATAAAAATTTAAAAATAAAAAATTGTTCTACGCTTTTTGTTGTTTTAAGGAAACTTTTCAATTGACGTTGGTTCAGCATTTACTATTTGTAGGGCAATGACATACTTTATATAAAACAGTTACCTACTATGCCTATTACGATGTTTGTAACACCCAAAAGGTGATGTTGGAGACCCTAAATATATACATATATAAATGATCAGCTTGACGAGCTGAGTCGACTTAGCTATGTCCGTCTGTATATAGGCTAACTAGTCCTTCAGTTTTTGTTCCTTTTCTCTCCAAGAAGCTGCGAATTTTTGGGAACTGCCGATATCGAACCAATATGCATATACTTGCCATACAAACTCAACGATCAAAATAAAGTTCTTGAATAAAAAACTTTTCATTTGACGATATATCTTCACGAAATTTGGCATAGACCAGTTTCTAAGGCAATGCTACAATATCTGTGAAAAAAATTCAGATCGGACCACTATATAATATAGCTGCCACCCCACTGACCGATCAGAATATAATATCTTGTATGGAAACTTCTTTATTTGTGAAGGGCATTCTAGCTATGGTGCAGCCGAATGTAACGCTTTTTCTGGTTTTTTTTTTTTGGGAAAAGGCATTACAAAAGCAACTAATTTTGTTCTGTTAAAGCGGCCGCTTGACTGGTGTTATGGTATATTCAAAAAACAGTCCCATTATTCAATGTTAATGTTGAAATTGAAAAAAAAAAAGAATTCAAAACAAAAATATATATGTGGTTAATTATATTTATTGACTAAATTCTAACATAAACTATCGATCACTTGGTATATTTATAAATTTACAGACCTTATGATGACGCATGTAAGTCTTAGCTCCATCCAGCAAGCGTTCGAATTCCAGACGGTTAGCATTACGATTAGTTATCACATTTCCAACTTGACCGACAATGGTTGCAAAAATGAAAACTCCAATAAGATAGCTGACAATTGTAAAAATATACCTAAGAAATACATAAAACAACAACAACAGACAAAGCTATTAGAACAAATCACATTAAAGCATCAAAGTTTTCGAAAAAACATGACATGAGGATTATCGAATATCTTCTTAATATCAATAGGTGTTGAAGGCTGTCACAACTTTCGAAAACTTTGATGGCAACTTTATTTTGAGGGGTTTAATTAATAAGAATTGAAGTGAAAAATAATTAAAACAAAACTCGCGTGGACAGCCCCAACATTATTGATATAGCTATACTGCATATAAGACTCAATCGCTCACTATGCTGAGGCTTCAAAGTAAATATATTGTCATATTCATTGAAGATTATGAAGTATAAATCGATTTCAGGTGAAACTCTGTTTGGAAGACAATTCGCGTAGATTTTACCTTGATGTCAAACAAGTAGGAAAATATTCTTCTAAAAATTAAAACATAACGATCAGGATATATTTGCCAGGTTTAAACAGTTTTAATAAAAAAAAACTACAGGATAGTAAGCGATTGTATTGTAAGAAAAACTTATGTACACACATATACAAGGTGCGTTCCAAAGTAAACAGTAAAAAAGTAAACTCTTGTGGCTCCATCTATATGTTGGCTAGTGCGTTAGAATCTGCTATCCTTTATCGACTTCCAGTAAAAATTTCATGACATTTCATCTATTGGAAGTGAAGTTATTGGGTTTTAAGTGTCAGTATGTTTTTGTCAGAGATAAAGAGATGCCCAACTCGTCTCTCACTAGAAATGAGAGCGCAATTGATAAACGTCAAAGTCTACTGAACTCAAGCAACTGTCAAAGTTCAGTAGGTCTGACGTTTAGCAATTGGAAAAAGAGGGACGGCCAGATTAAAATCCTACAGAAAAATATTTTAACAGAGAGATTGGTGCTGCTGTTGAAGATCACTAACAAAAATTGGAAAACAATGAAAATGAAAGAAAACGCGAAATTGAAATGTATGTGATGATATCTTTTGTGATGCCATGCTAAGTGGTATTGATTTTCAATTGAAATTTGAAAAACATTTATTAATGGAGAGTGAATACATTTATTCTTTTGATTACGTATTGAAAGTTTAAAAATCAATTGTTTAATATATCACAAAATCACAAAATAAAGAGTATAAAAAGTTTCTGCATATGCTTAACGGATACATGTATAATAATATTTAATCTTAATAAATGATGGGTATTTTAATTTAAATTCCCAAAAATTATTATTTTGTCCGATCTGGCTACAATGGAAAATGTTATAAAAAACGCTTCTTTTTTTTTTTTGAGGCGCTCTCACATTGGAAAGAGTTGGGCATCCCATTATCCCTGGTTTTTGTCATCGGTGCGAAAATGAGCTTCGAACAAAGAGCCAACATTAAATTTTGTTTAAAAATTGGTAAAACTTTTACCGTAACGTTTCAATTGATGAAACAAGTTTATGGCGATGATTGCTTGATGCTGATTTGTTTTTATGATTCCAAGGGTATTGTCCACAAAGAATTTGTTCCACCCGGCCAAAGCGACTTCTACCTTTTCGGAAAAATGCATTTGCCGATGAAAGGAAAGCGTTATGCAGACGTGGAGGCCATTTAAAAGGCTTGCACCGGCATACTGGCATCCATACCGGGCAACGAGCTAAAACACTCGTTCGACATGCTTTCGGACCGTGCAAAAAGCTGTATTGAAGCAGAAGGAGACTATTTTGAATAAAATTAATTGATTTTGCCGATAAAACCATTTGTTCTGTATTTTTTTTTAAAAGTCCTGTTTACTTTGGAACGTACCTTGTAGTACATAGGAATGTTTATAAGTATGTATAATCAAATATCAGATATGAGAATATAATTAGAAAGAAGGTAAATCATACCCATAATTGGAACCGAATTGCAGTAATCTAGATCGTATACCACGTCTAGGTATAGATCTTGGGCCGTCCACTGAAAAATTTGGTCTTACGATAGAATAAAAAAAACACAATTTATAAAAAGAAATGAATTATTTTCATTCACTTAAATAAATGAGCTAACGCATCATATAACCTAATTACATGTGTATAAACAAGAAAATAAGTACAAAGTTGCTACAGAGTATTACGAGTATAGTTTTGTTCCCCTAACGGTTGTTTGTAACACCTTTAACTAAACGAGATAAATATTGATTTATGTATGTATATATAAATGAACAGGATGACGAGATTGTCTCTCTGTTCGTCCGTTCGTGCTAGCTAAAATTTAAATTATCTGGATGAAACTTGGGACACGTGCTTCTTGGCACCATAGAAATTCACCTACTTCCCATATATAAAACTTTTGAATTCGATTTGATTTTTTATACTCTCGCAACCTGTTGCTACAGAGTATAATAGTTTTGTTCACCTAGTGGTTGTTTGTATCACCTAAAACTAATCGAGTTAGATATAGGGTTATATATATATAAATGATCAGGATGAAGAGACGAGTTGAAATCCGGGTGACTGTCTGTCCGTCCGTCCGTCCGTCTGTCCGTCCGTGCAAGCTCTAACTTGAGTAAAAATTGAGATATCTTTATGAAACTTGGTAGACATGTTTCTTGGTACCGTCAGACGGTTGGTATTGCAGATGGGCGTAATCGGACCACTGCCACGCCCACAAAACGCCATTAATCAAAAACAAATAACTTGCCATAACTAAGCTCCGCAATAAGATACAAGACTGTTATTTGGTACACAGGATCACATTAGGGAGGGGCATCTGCAGTTAAAACTTTTTTTTTAAAGTGGGCGTGGTCCCGCCTCTAATAGGTTTAATGTGCATATCTCCTAAACCGCTAATGCTATAATAACAAAATTCACTAGAAGCAAATGTTTTTAGCACTTCTATTGACGGTGTGAAAATAGTTGTAATCGGGTGGCAACTCCGCCCACTCCCCATATAACGGTACTGTTAAAAACTAATAAAAGCGCGATAAATCCAGCACTAAACACGCCAGAGATATTAAATTTTATCTCTGAGATGGTATAAGATGACTATAGGAACCGCGTTCAAAATTAGACAGTGGGCGTGGCACAGCCCACTTTTAGGTGAAAACCCATATCTTGAGATCTGCTTAACCGATTTCAACCAAATTCGGTGCGTAACGTTCTTTTCATGTTTCTATGTCATAGTGCGATCGGACTACAACCACGCTTACTTCCTATGTAACACCATTTTCAATTCCATCTGATTCTTTCACTTTCCACTATGCAAATCAGGTAACAATGATTATATCGGGGTAAAACTTTGCGTGAATAATGCAATTAAAGTATGCCACCTTGCGGCCAAAAATTGTCTAAATCGAACCAAAACTGTTCAAACCCCTAAGTACTAAATATATGGACCCCATTGCTTATAGTTGACCTTATACCGAAAATATCAGTCAATCCACAAAGAAATCTCAAATGAGTATACCATTTGACTTTGCGAGAGTATAAAATGTTCGGTTACATCCGAACTTAGCCCTTCCTTACTTGTTCATTTTACAGTTTATAAATGGAGAGTCATATCGTTATTGTAATAAAACTTTGCACAAATAGAGTATTTTAAGTATTTCATCTCGAGTCTAAGAAATGTCGTAATCGGACCATAACTTTTCAAGGCCCCAGTTACCGAATATGTTGACCAGTGCCTAGGGTTGATTTTTTTTACCAAAAATATCCTTCATTATTACTATTTTTTTGATAAAAAAAATAATTTGTACCGAAAATAGGTAAAATCGAGCCAATACTTCCCTCGCCTCCATGTACCTAAAATAAAGATTTTCTAACTTCCTATATAAAGTACAATGTGCCGGTTGGCTTTATACCGTATACTTGTACCTATATCGATCAAATAGACGAGTATGTGATATTGTGATTTTCATCTATTTGGACTTTCCATCTGACTATAAAGCATTTAAAGCAATATGTGTGATACTTTATTTAAATTAAATGAACAACTTTTTATAAAAATAATGAAGTTTAACGCCAAATTTGAATGGAACTGATCTAGTCCTTGGTTCCAAACCTCATAGCCGTAATATATATACGGACTTCGATCATATAGTTGATATTTCCCACAAATACCCCATATATCAAATTGTGTCCCTTTGGTTGAATTTATACCATATATATCTTATTTGAGTTAATTAGCTTGTTTAAATAAAAAATATTTTGATCAATCAAAATTTAAGAATGAATTGATTTTTAATTCGGGTAATTCAAATAATGCATGATGAATTTGTAATTATACTCTTGCAACATGTTGCTATAGTTTTGTTCATCTAACTGTTGTTTGTATCATCTAAAATTAATCGATATAAATATAGTGTTATACAAATATAAAAGATCAGGATGAAGAGACGAGTTAAAATCCGGGTGACTGTCTGTCCGTCTGTGTAAGCTGTAACTTGAGTGAAAATTGAGATATCGTATCGTGATCCTTGATAAACGGGAGGATAAACGATGCGTCCTCGGACCACTGCTACGCCCACAAAACCCCATGTGCCATAACTAAGCACTAAGTAAAGATATAAAATTCAAGCTATTATAGCCACAAGATAAATCCTTTAAGCGCTCCTACCAAAGCTGTAAAATCGGACGAAATCGGATGATGTTATTAAAAATTACTAAAAGCGCGATAAATCAATAAATAAATGCGTCAAATACATACAATTTCACACCCGAGATCATAGCAGAGGGCTTTATAGGAGTCGCTGTCAAAATTTGACGATGCCCGTGGTGCCGCCCGCATTTAGGTGAAAGCCCATATCTTGAGTTTCAACCAAATTCGGTAGGTAGCATTATTCATTCCTATGTATGTCGCAGTGCGGAAATGGTCGAAATCGAACTACAAGCACGCCTACTTATCATATAACACAATTTTTAATTCCCTCTGATTCTTTTACTTTCCAGTATACCAATTTAGCACCAATGAATGTAAAACTTTGCATGAATACTGCCTTTAAAGTGTGATAGCTTTTGACCAGAAATTATCCAAAACGAACCAAACCTGTTTAAGCCCCAAGGTATCAAATATAATATATGGACCCCAGTACCCATTGCTAACTTTTTATCGAAAATATCGGTAAATCTGTGAGACGTATTCTAGATACTCAGAGATAAACCTTATCTGATAATAATATGCCCGTGTGCTAGTAATAATAATAATAAAACTTGGACTACGAATTACGCAGTAAGTGGGGACTACTATATAATCATTTTAATTATTCTACCAAACCCATGCTGAATATGTCGGTCAGTGTATGAGTTATATATTTATAAATTGCTTGAAAATATGTTCTTGAATATATGTACCTGAGTAATAGTAAAAGTTAATGAAATCAGGCCAGATCTTTACTGTGCCCAATTTAGCCTATACAATGATTTCCGAATTCCCACCTGTCTTTAAACCATTTAGGTTGGTCAAAATATGTGTTTTATATAAATCGGTTACACCCGAACTTAGCCCTTCGTTACAGGTATTCGTATGGATTTATGTAAATTTATTTGCATCATGGGAAGTTGTAGGCTTAAACTGTTTGACATTGTAAAATCTTTACGTCGGACCATATTTTTAAAACCATTTGTCGGTTCTTGAAAACAATTCATTAGAAACATCTATTTTTTTGTGCTGTATACTTATTTTTATAAAGAATTAATCGATAACGCGAAATCGTAAAACAATTTATTTTGTTAAACACTAAAGGCGACCTTAAATACAGTTTTTTAATGTTAGGCGAATGAAACTGGATTTGCAATGATTAGTTAAATTCAAGTCCATTTCTCCAATAGACAGTCTTGAAAAGAGAAAAGTTTTTAAAATATCATTTTTAATATCAGTAATCATAAATAAAAACAGTTTTTTGTTAGTTAATAAAATTTATTTACAGTCCAGATTTGAAATTTTTGTATACATTTTTGTTTACATTTTAAACATAATGTGTTTAAATGTAGCCTCATTTAATACAGATTTTTTCAAAACTTAAAAACTAATTAAATTAATTGTTAGAGCTTTTTCTCATACACACTAATTTAAAAAAACTCCATCCTTTTTGGATTTAAATCCTAATTATTCTACTACCACTACTTCGACTTTTCTACAGATAATTTAATTTGACCAGGCGTAAAGGGAATCGCTACATTTTTCCTTCTTATTGCAATCTCTCTTGACATTTACTTGAAGTTGAACACGAGAAAAAAAGTTTGAAACTCGTTTGATCTCGAAAGAGAAATATTCTATCATAGTTTGGTGAAATCAGATGTATACATACTCGTATATATAATCCATATAGCCAATAATATATAGAAGTATTTTAAACTTAATAAGCTTATTAAAAGCACTTACTCTGCATTTGTTTCGGGCGTTGGTAAATCTCCAATTGTAGTTAAGGTAAGGGTAGACCAATAAAGACTACCTAGATACTTTCTAGTCAATGTCGCGTAATCTCCTGGTCTGTAAGGATATACCCAGTCTCCCTTTATAAAAGAAAATTAAAATCATCAATAACTGAAATTACCACGCTTTTAACATATGAATTGTACCAACCTGAAATCCTTCAGCTTCCGATAGTAGATAATAAAAACACCCAAACCAATGCGCCAAAATTAATAAAATATGAATTAAGTTTATAACACGCCATAAGTTTGGCCAAACTGTCCTACTTTCAACAATGTAATAGAATTTGACACATCGATACACCTAGCGAAGAAAAAGCGATTCAGTATAAAAAGTAAAAATATGGTATTTCACATTGACCACACCTACCTTGAAAAACCTTGAAAACCGTAAAAGAGGATTTGCACCGATTTTGAGTTGTATTAAATCCAGGGGAATCAATGATATGATATCAAAAAAGAAATCTCTAGAATGTATATAATGAAGTGCTAATTTTTTATCATCATAAACCATTAGTCCTTGTTCGAGGTATCCTGTGCGCAGTTGGACAATTATATCGAATACGAAAACTACATCCGTAAGTGTATCACAAACAAACCAAAATATAGGAACAGCTTGCTGAAAATAAATAAAATTAAAATGTTATTAAAATGCAATGTGCAGAAAAGTTATTATTTCAGGACAAAAATTTATATATATATTAAAACGAAATATATTTGGTTGTTATTATTAGTAAGACGCCTGCGAGCAAGCAGTCGCACTTAAGCGACCAGTGGGCTTATTCTTACTTAAAAAAAAATCCTAAAGAAGCATTAGTAAGAAAGTTCAAGAATGTAATGGAAGCTTTGATTTCATTACATCCGAAGAACAATATCTATGGTATACCATAAAATTCAAGAAACAGGTATTTTAAAATATGTAGCTTCTCAATCGGGTAGAAATAGGTCTCTCGAGCGTAGTACCGCTCTACATTAACTTTGGAGTTGAGATGTCAGACACAATTAACACCACAGTACCTGCTAATTTGATTTTTATGAAAATACATATAATACTTAATAATTATTAGAAACTTTGTCAACATCAATGTTACCAAACGAAATGAAATTTCCGAAAGGGTTGACCAACGGATCAGGATGAGATGGAATGCCTTAAAGGCATACATTATCGCCAAGATCATGTGCAAGGGAACGGAAGGGAAACACACATGCTTTTCCCTCAGACGGTATCGAAAGGACTGCAGGACAGTGTCTATTATTAAAAAAAACATGAGAGAAAGGCTAAATAACCACCTCTGCTTTTGTACTGCCTTAGATATCTTGGCTTAGATATCTAGAAGATTCGGAGTTCAGGGGATATGTATAAAGTATCGGAATTGGATATCAATTCTCTATTTAACTTCGCAAAAGGCTAGACATCCTGCACGTCGCAAACTTCAGCTTGTATTAAACTGAACTTCCTTATAGCATTACAAAGAACATGTAGGTCTATGTATGGCGTGTCAGCCAGCCAGTATAACCAAACCTAACGTAATGTTACCCAAGTGAGTTATCTCAAGACTTGGTATTTAGCCACAATCTGCTTTGAAATATCTAACTTATTTCTTTTAATTACCTTATATGCCATCATGACCAATATAATATGTAATATGTGTTCTTTCGCTACTTTAAGTTTATACCGTTGTAATCGGTAAACTTGATATCAGACATTCCGATCAAAATGTGGATTTGAATATCACCGACAATGTTACAATTTGAAATAATAATTATTAAATTTTTATAAACTTGTTTTTTTTTAATAAATTTTACTAAAAGTTTTCGAAAATACTCATATGGCCACTAGAATTTTTACCTATTAACTAAAAGTCGATGACTACTGGAAAAATTAAATTCAGAAATTATTTATGACGACTTGAAATAAATTTATTTTAACTAAGAACAAAGTCGCACCAAGAAACTCTTACAGGCAGTATACCCTATATATTCTTAGTAATCTAATATCTCTAATTCATAAGCATATATGGTATGTGCATAAATACATATTTACATACATATAAATACTTATATGGTATTATGTATAATTTCCCATTACCTGCAGTTCAGGAAAGCTTTGTCGCACAATAAGAGTCCATAAATTGTATAAAACAGAAACAGTTAGTATCATTAACCAATAGAAATAAAAGTTTTCATCTGGATTAACAACAGATCGCCGCTTTTGTAAAAATCGACGCCGACGTTTTGTACTTTTATTAGATTCTCCAAAGGCGCTCTCCGACCCAGTGTCTTCGACCGTTTCCTGAAATTAAAAATATCATTATTAAAACATGTATGGTATATATATCAAAATATTAATAATGTAAAACATAGAAATTCACAAAATAAATAATGGCTGACTTACATACAACTTTTGTTTTGCTTTGCGTTAGACATTTGCTTTGACAGATAAGTTCGATTTATGCTTTTGTATTCGTTCGTTCACATCGAGGTGAAACAATAGAGAGAATCATGGAAAGCAAAATGTTCATTTTGACATACCCTTCGATTCGTTATTAAAGTATGAGTTGTCAAGCAAAGCTATGAAAGTTGTATATGAATTTTTAGGTCAGTCTTACATTGTAATTGCATTTTATTTTAATGATATAAAAACTCGTAATCGTGGTATGTACATATATGACAGAAAGCAAAAGCAAATTCTATTTTTTACCTGAGTTTCTGGAATTTGTCGCGTAGAGAATCGCTTTAAAAAGGAGTCCTCACGTTTTAATGGGGGTTTTTTCTGTATCGCTGAAGATATTTGGACAGTTGTTCTAAGCTTCATCCATCGTTGATTGGATCGGTTCCTATTTTTGCAAATAATATTCTGTAGTATTTTTAGAGTTAGAAGTACATAATCAGTGCTAATACATATATAGATAATTTATATATACCTAATATATATATAGTTAATTTATATATACCTAATATATATATAGATATATATATATATTTTTACTTAAGTCTGCATATGCAAAATTAAAAATTTTAAGCAAAACCACAAATTTTGAGATAGCTCAAATAAAAATACTCCTTCCAAAGTTATGCGCAGTTAAAGTTATGAATCATAGGTACTGAGCATTCATACAAGTAAAATATGGTGTACTGCAAAAATTTCTATTATAATATTCCTTTTTCAAAGTTGTGGATTTATTTGTTTAGTGAAAAAATTAAAAAAGCTCATGTCATTTACATGGGAAAAGTAACATGATTCAGGCACGGTTAAAATTAAAAATAAAGATCTCATTTACGTTAGATAATTTTTTTAGGATAAAAACTTAAACTTCACGGGGAGTCAGTAAACCAACATCCTAATGATTCAATGAAACGTGTACAAACAGACGGACGAACAGACAATCACCCGAATTTCAACACGTCTGGTTATTATGATCATTTATATATTTATATCTATCTCGATTAGTTTTAGGTGATACAAACAACCGTTAGGTGAACAAAACTATTATACTCTGTACTCGAGAGTATAAATATAAATAATATCTGTACAATTTAATTTAAAAAATAAATTTGAGGGTTGACTTAGGCGTTAACCATATCCAACGTTTAAACAAAAAATCTAAACAAACAATGAAGGATTGTACAATATATAAAAATATCGCTTGTGTTCATCAAATAATTTTGAGTATTTATCAAAAAACTTACCAGTCAGCATCCAGGTCTGAAGGCTTTTCGCTGATATCTGATTTCCTGGAATAATAATAACATATTTCGCGTATTATTTTTATTATATTAAACAAAACCAATCTTCTAATATACAATTAATTCGTGTCACAGTGCTTGTTGATAAACTATTTTGAAACGACAGGACCGATTTTGATAAAATTTGGTGTGCTTACCGCCTAGGTCGAAGAATAAGAAATCATCTGGGTCGGCTTTAGAATAACGTCCCACGCTTTCGGGGATAAAATGGGTATGGGCGGATAGAGGAGATCCTCCAGATCAAGAATATATATAGATATAGCCGCGGGAAACTTATAGTTTTCGAGATAATTGGGTTTAAAGTTCAAAATTTCGACTATTTAAAGTAAGCATTTTTCCCATTTCGAATGAGTTATACACTTATATTTTCCACCTTTATATCCACTAACACTTCACTAATTCGTTTGTACACATTTATTTTACATTATATAGTGCAAAAATAGTTTAATTCAATAATTAAATTATTGTTAAATTCTCTTAATTCTGACAATAACAAAAGGGTTGCAAAATTTCAAATAACCAGTGTTACCTTATCGACGTCTTTTGTAATTGAACTGAAAGAAATTAAAACAAATACAGGTATCCAAAACCTAGAGAAATAAACTATTACAAAGCATTGATGTTAAGTATTATGTTATACCCTCTATGACAATATTACTTTTTTCTTGTAGAACTTTCTTTTGATAACCCTGGTCGGTCCAACACCGGGGTGTATCAAGGTTTTTTTGCGCAGAACTCCTTTTTGCGTTGGCGCCCTTCGGCCGCGCTTCAAAAGAATAACCCTGGTCGATCCAACACCGGGGTGTATCAAGGTTTTTTTGCGCAGAACTTATTTTTGCGTTGGCGGCCTTCGGCCGCGCTTCAAAAAAAAAATAACTCTGGTCGATCCAACACCGGAGTGTACCAAAGTTTTTACGCGCAGAAATTATTTTTGCGTTGTTTCCCGTATCTAGGATACAATCTCTCTGTTAATTTTATTTTTCTTCGTTTGCAAAATATATTAGTATGGCAACACTGATGTTTTGACATTCACAACCATTTTGTTATTGTCAAATTTAATAAAATTAAAGAATGATTTAAATATTGAAATAAAGCTATTTCTGCAGCATCTAATATAAAAAAATTTCTAAAAACGAATTAGTCAAGTGTTAGTGGATATAAAAGTGAAAAATATAAGTGTATAATTCATTTAAACTCGCAAAAATACGTACTTTAAATAGTTCAAATTTTCAACTTTAAACGTAAATATCTCGAAAACTATAAGTTTCCCGCGGCTATATCTATATATATTCTTGATCTGGAGGATCTCCTCTATCCGCCCATACCCGTTTTATCCCCGAAAGCGTGGGACGTTATTCTAAAGCCGACCCGAAATTTTTTTTTTATATTAGATGCTGCAAAAATAGCTTTATTTCAATATTTAAATCATTGTTCAATTTTATTAATTTTGACAATAACAAAATGGTTGTGAATGTCAAAACATCAGTCTTGCCATACTAATATATTTTGTAAACGAAGAAAACTAAAATAAACAGAGAGATTGTACCCTAGATACAGGAAACAACGCAAAAAGAATTTCTGCGCGTAAAAATTTTAGTACACCCCGGTGTTGGATCGACCAGGGTTATTTTTTTTTGAAGCGCGGCCGAAGGCCGCCAACGCAAAAATAAGTTCTGCGCAAAAAAACCTTGATACACCCCGGTGTTGGACCGACCAGGGTTATTTTTTTAAAGCGCGGCCGAAGGCCGCCAACGCAAAAAAAAGTTCTGCGCGAAAAATATTTTGATACACCCCGGTGTTGGACCGACCAGGGTTATTTTTTTTGAAGCGCGGTCGAAGGCCGCCAACGCAAACAGAAGTTCTACAAGAAAAAAGTAATATTGTGATAGAGGGTATAACATAATACTTAACATCAATGCTTTGTAATAGTTTATTTCTCTAGGTTTTGGATTCCTGTATTTGGGGTATTATCTGTTTTAATTTCTTTCAGTTCAATTACAAAAGATGTCGATAAGGTAACACTGGTTATTTGAAATTTTGCAACCCTTTTGTTATTGTCAGAATTAATAGAATTTAACAATAATTCAATTATTGAATTAAACTATTTTTGCACTATATAATGTAAAATAAATGTGTACAAACGAATTAGTGAAGTGTTAGTGGATATAAAGGTGGAAAATATAAGTGTATAACTCATTCGAAATGGGAAAAATGCTTACTTTAAATAGTCGAAATTTTGAACTTTAAACCCAATTATCTCGAAAACTATAAGTTTCCCGCGGCTATATATATACATTCTTGATCTGGAGGATCTCCTCTATCCGCCCATACCCATTTCATCCCCGAAAGCGTGGGATGTTATACTAAAGTTTTCCCAATTCTAAATTTTCACACTTATACGATCAACCCCTGATTTTTAATCGGGATTTTTACATTATTCTGTTCATCCCCAGATCTACAAGATGGCAATCGAATATTATAATTTAGTATATTATAATTTTCATGTATATTCTATGCAGTGTCAAATCTGTTACAAAACTACCAAATTTTTTGTCATCAAAACATTCAATTCACACTTGAATAAATATGTATGTACAAATAAACCTTAGTTTAAACCGAATATTTTTAACACCTCCTTACGAAATTTTCGATTTCAAGAGAGCTTTAATCGCGACAGTAACTTGTCAAAGTGTGAATTGACATGTTGAAAATGTTTAATATGTTTTCAGTTACCTGACATCGATGTCCTTCTGTTCGCTTACTGCGGAGGTTTATTGTTATACCGAAACAAATCTTGATATTAATTTTTATTGTATATTGCCTACCAAAATCTTTTGCTTACCAACCAAACTACCGAAGACAAATGAAAGTACCAATTTGTGTCCGATCGGGCCCAAACGGCAACGCTAATTTTATGAACTAATCAGTTATCTCCGCCACGTGCCTCCCGTTGTCACTTATCAATCGCCAGATATCACGGAGTACAGATGAAAAGAAGGTGGCTTATTTTTTTTAATCAACTCAAGTAAATTTCATTCTCACAGAGAAATTAACATTATTTCTTAATACATCTCGAAAACGGCCTGTATTGATTTTAATTCTCATTCCAGCACATTTGACTTATTTGACTCACTTTTCAAAATTAAAAAGACTTTATTTTTTCTCTTAATAAATGAAAATGTAACAATTTATTATATTGTAACTTTAAATCTTGGCTGTTGAAATTTTTGTTTCTGTAGCTGAGCAGTTTTAGATCTCAACACTTATAAAACTCTCTTGCCTTTTTTGACTCGGCTAATTCCGCACGTATGCGGTTTGTGCCCCTCGCGTCGGTTGGGCGGGAGGAGGGTAATCGTTGGGTTATTATTATTATTATTATTGTGCTATGAATGCACCACGCTATTTTACATGGACTTAATCGAAAAAATGGATGCCCCGAAGGACGGGACACTTCCCGTTATTCCACGTTCAACGTACGCTGAAGAAATCAACTTTTGCTTAAAATCATCGTGACTGTGCGCGTTTATATGCTTCAAGGTCCATCTACTAAAGCTTTTTCAAAACAATTCTTAGATATTGGCAATGGAAAAGTAGCTGTACATGAAAATACTGGTTGCATAAAATCACCGACGGATTTCTGCACAATCACCAACTCACAAAATACTATCATCGACAATATATTTCCCGATGTACTTTAATAAAGACAAATTTTTTAACTAAAATAAAGTATACTTTAATTGTCTACAACTCTTCATTCCTATTTCAAATACTATTACATCCCCCAAACCATTAGATCGAGATCAGCCATCATTAGAACTAGAACTAGCCTATATTAGAACTAGAAAGGATTTTCCAAAAATATGTCAATAACCAACCCAACATTGAACGACCTACCTTAATCTGCTTTCCCTAAATAAAACCGACAGCGGCAAATTACTGTCAAAAATTCCGTATGCCCATAGATTTTGTATTCCGCATACTAAAATAACGCGGTGGTCAGCTGAGCGGTAAAAAAAAATAAATAAAATATTGCACCGAAGCTATAATACCCTTCACAAATACAAAGACTTCGTAAAGATACCTCGTCAAATAAAAAAGTTTTCCATGCAAGCAGCTTATTCCGATCCTTCAGTTAATATGACAGCTATATGCCATAGTCATCCATTGTATACTATTTCATCGGAGATTGCATTATTGACTTAAATAATAATCCACTGCCAAATTTTGTGAAGATACCTCGTCAAATGAAAGCGTTTTCCATGCAAGCACTTGATTCCGATCGTTAAGTTTGTATGGTAGCTATATGCTATAGTGATCTGGTCTGAGCATATTCTTCGAGATTACATTGTTACCTAAGGAAATATCTTATGCCAAATTCAGTTTGTACGGCAGCTATATGCTATAGTGGTGGATTTATCAGCAGGCTGAGTAGGCTGTAGCCTAGGGCGGCAAATTTTAAGGAGCGGCGAATTTTGGTCGAATGGTATCACGATTGCGGAGCAATTGGGTTACGGCGTTAGTTGAAGCGAGATTTCGTTGTATATGTAGCGACTACCATCACTCCTAATTGTAAAAGATTTATGTAAAAAAGCTATTCTTAATATTGTTCTTAATTCTTATAATCTGGTAACACCGAATTCAGCAACAAAATTGTATTATCCCGTTATCCCCGTAAGTAAATAATTCTAGTGTTTAGGATAAATCACCCGTAGCGAAACAGTAAATTTGACTTGATAACAAAAGTGTATAAAAATTCAAAATTCTTGTCTTATTCTTATAATTATCTGTTTTGCTTTTATTAGGTAAGTATTCAAAGTTAACAAAGGATACTGGTAATTGCGTACAGAAAACTATACTTTTAATTTACTATTTAATTGTTTCAGTTCTTGAATCAAAAATTGTCAGAATGAATGATGGGAAAAAGCGACTTAGTGGGGCCGAGTACAGAAAAAGAGCAGAAATTAGAAAAGAAGAACAGAAAGAAATCATCCGACAAACAGTAAAAATTTACAATTTTTTGAGAAATGAAAGTAAAAGCATTATTTTGAGTGCGGAAACTTCAAACATAAGTCCTAATACAATACAATCTGAAGATGAGACCGATACATACTCTGCTGCTTGTGACAGTGTGGCAGAAGCGGAATCATCTGTAAGTCCAACAATTGAAGATTCGTTTCAGAATCAAACGTCGAGCCCAGATCTGTATATTGTGGACCGTGTTTGGCATTTGGTCCATTGGAGTGTTGAACTCAATTTGAGAACGGAGGATTCAATGACTGGAAAAATGCAGATCATCGAACAGCTCAGTATGAAAACTCTCCGCGTCATAAATCTAGTATTCTTAGTTTGAAAGATAGAAATAAGATTGATGACCGACTTAATGATTTATTGCAGATCCAGATTGATGAAGAAATAACTTACTGGAAAAACGTTCTGATGAAAGTTGTTGCTGTCGTGAAGCGATTGTGTTCAAGAGGTCACACTTTTAGAGGGAAAAACTAAAAATTTGAAGATCCACATAATGGAAATTATTGTATGGTTTTGGAACTATTAGCCAAACTTGATCCTTTTCTGGCTCATCACATTAAACGGTTTGGAAATCAAGGATCAGGGAGTACCAGTTACTTATCAAAGACCACTTGCGATGAATTTATTCTCTTGATGGGTCAGAAAGTTTTAAAGAAGATTGGAGACGAAATAAAACAAGCAAAATATTTTTTTCTAATCACCGATTCAACACACATTCTTTAAATCTATCAACAACTACAGCTGCTGAATCGACTACAGAAGCTTGTCACTTTTTCATATTGTTACAGGAAATCTAGGTTTTTTTCTAAGCTCGACACAACGCTGGCAGAAACTAATGAATCAAATCGGAAAAGGCAAAAGCGTTAAAAAAGTAAATTTGACATGCTGGTCAGCTAGAGAGGATGCATGCAAAAGTTTGAAAGAATCTTGGCATGAAATTCTAAAAACTTTGGAATTAATCAAGGATGATTGTACCGAAAAGCCTGTGATACGACAAGAAGCGGCAGGGATATTTTCGAATTTGCAAAAACTGCAAACGGCAGTAATGGTTGTTGTATGGAATGTTCTTCTGGAGAGAATAAAACAAGTGAATGTTCAATTTCAGAGTTCTAACACAGATTTGATCACTGTTGCTGATATTTACGAATCACTCCGTAAGTTTTTCATAGCTGAACGAGAGAATTTTAAGTTTTTTGAAAAGGCAATGGAAATGAGTGTATCAAAACAATATACAAAAAAGATGGGAAAACGACGCCAAAAAGAAAAAAAGATTTGAACTCTCGAAGAATATATTCGAATGGCTGCAATTGATTACTTCAGAGTTAACACGTTTTTCTCGTTCTCATAGACAGATTCATATCCGTATTAGCAAAGCAGCAAGAGGCTCATAACGGACTTAACGAGACATTTTAATTTCTTACTTAAATGAATGAGTTGTCACCATCAAGTCTGACAGAAAAAGCCAGTTTTTTGGAAGAAACGTATCCTAATGATTTAGAAAAGGACTTAACTCAGGAATGCGTACACTTTCAAGCCTCTGTTCTGTCCTCTGAAAGAATTTTAATAAAACCAAAGTCTGGATCATTGAAAAGTCTGTATTTGCTCATGCGACAACAAAATTTAGAAAATATTTATCCAAACTTGGATATAGCACTTCGTATTGCTTTATGTACACAAGCAACGAATTGTTCTGGTGAAAGAAGTTTATATTGCTTAAAGAGAGTCAAGAACTATCTACGATCGACTTTAAGTCAAAAAAAGCTAAACACTTTAGCTCTTTTATGCATAGAGTCAGAACAGAATTATTATGCTGTTTTTAAATTGTAATTGTAATAAAAAATATTTATCAACGTTCTTGGAGTGTACATTTTTTGTGTAAGCTTTGTTCATATAATGTAAGTTTTGTATAGTTTCAAGACATGCTTTAACTTTTCTTAAAAAAAGTACATGAATGAGATTTTCTTTGCTTAAAATGATATTTCTTCATAATTATTTAATGTGTAAATAATCAAGGATTTGATACCGTACCTTAGTTTTTTAGTCATAAAGTGGCAATTTAATAGATAGAAAGTATAATTTATGAAAACTTAAACTAAGCTATCGAATTTCAGAGGTAGTAGGGGCGGCAAAAATTGAAAAGCCTACAGTCGGCAAATCTGCAAATCCGCCACAGCTTCTTAGTAAGGAAAGGACAGGTGCAAATTTTCAGATCAATAGCTTAAAAACTGAGGGACTACTTAGCGTATTTACAGGCTAAATCAACTCAGCTCATCATGCTAATCATATTATGTATATACTTACATATTTTAGGGTTTACGACGTTTCCTTCTGGGTGGTACAAACTTAATATACCCTGTTCAGGGTATACAAATTTCTCTGAGCTTATGTGCAACCTAATTTATGTACGTCAAATATATGTATACGACATTGACCTGTAGAGGCAGATTTTTTCCAAAATGTTGTACGAAAAAATGTTATGGTAACTTCTGGCCATAACGAAATTATATCCTCTTTGTCTTTAGAAAATGACAGCTCTTACTGTAGATGAAATTTTTACAATGCTTAAACAAGATTCTGACGTTGATGAAGAAGCTATGGATGAAAATGAGATAATATTTGATGAGCCCAAGTGCAATTCAAAGATGTAGATGTGGTTGAACACGAAGCTATTTCAGAGGAGCACGAAACCGAAGTATACGACGGCAATGTTCCCAATTCCCCAACAACATGTATAAGTAGAGACACAACTGCAAAAATTTATGGAGTTTCATATACAGCAAAGAAAGATATTCGTTGACAAAAATGTTTACATCAGGAAAGCTTTAGAGGCATAGCAAATAAGTGAGGTTTTGGTCCACTCCTTTTCCTATCTTTAGCAAATATATACTGATGAGTTTTTTACGAGAGAATTGCACAAATCTATATGCACCAAATTCAGGCCAATTGTCGTTCAAAGCTTAGACTGTTGATGAAGTACGATTTATTTGGGTGGAGATGTTTTATAATTCGGTAATAAGAATATTACTTTTCATTGAAAATATAACTCGCAGAAGATTTTCAGCAATTCGAAACAATTTACACATTGTTAACATAAATGCCCGTAAGCGCGACTGCGCTGATCGTCTCTTTAAAATGCGACCAATAGTTGAGTTGATTAGAATCGGATAAAAAACCTGACATTGAGAGAAAACCTCTGCATTGATAAACAAATCATCCCATTTAAAAACAAATTTACAGCTAAGCAGTACGTTAATACGTTATGTGGAAAAAGTGGAATGCCGTACGATTTCCAGATATATAAAGGATCCACGATACCCTTAAATCCACAATGGATCCAAACAGTTCGCTTCGGTTCCGCAGTCGTTCTGCACTTGGCGAAACGTATCCCAAATACCGAAATTGGACATAATTTATTATTCAACAACTACTTCCCATCATACCAATCGTTTGAAATGTTGAAACAAAAAAAAATGAATAGATTTTCGAATCCACGCTTGCCAACAGAGGTCCATCAGCAGAATGCATAAGGCGCGATAATAATGTTATTGTACTCGCTGATACGACAATAAGTTGCGAATCTGGCTTCAAACTTTGTTGGCATCAAGAAAAAATCAAAGCTAAGAGATGGCATAAAGAAAACAAAAATTTTATACTTATCGATAGACCCAAGTTGTACGAATGTATAATGTGTATACGAGCGGGGTGGATTTATTGGATCAAATGATCCAATACTACTGGATGAATATTGGCACAGTTAAGTGGACTCTGAGAGTTATTATGCAATTTGTAAATTATATATAACTGCGTCATGGATGGAGTACAAAAAAGATTGTATTAATAAAGGACTCCCGAAAAATAAAATATTAGATTCAACAAATTTTCTCATTGCAGTTGCTCGTACACTCCTCGCTGCCCAACAAGACGACACATCCATTCCTCATCTAAAACGCAAAAAAGATAGACCATCAAAAGCCTCTCTAAAATAATCCTCATCTGCGGAAGGCGGTAACAGCGATGACTCCGACAATAGTGAATCCATGCATTTGGCACCAATTCCCAAAAAACGGAAGAAAGTCTTTCAAAAAGCTCCAGAACCAGAAATGAATTAAACAAAATAATACTTTCTTATTTACACCTATTACGTACTATGAATTAGTAAACTTTAATTTGAACCACTTATAAAAAAATGTCAATAAATGGTGCTTTTGGTGGTCGATATCGAATATATTGAAAATCAGATAAAAGCCGAGGGAGTTACCAAAATTTAAAAATTTAATTTTCCCTAAATTTAGCACAACCATATTAGTCACATACATACTCGTATGTGTATTTCAGATTTTTAGCTAGTTAATATCGTTTACACGATATGAGTTATTAAAAATATACTTTTGAGCTGCACAGAAATGTGTACTCTTTATTGATATTCTTAAGACTAACTTGTTATATAGATCTTACTGCTATTTATACTAACTAGTGTTACTTATTACTAGTTGATAGTTTCTTTACATATAACATATTGTTTGTTTAAATACATTTGCATCGTTCTAAGATAAGTTTGTTTGATGTATTTTGTTTAATGTGGTTTCATACATTATGTTCATTCAGAGATAAGGTTGTTTTTATGTTTGTTTGTTTAGGATATTGGTGATATAATGTGATAAGTAATACGTTCCTTAACTAGCTCGAACTCAAATATTTTTGAAATCGAAAGGGTTAAAAAAAAATAGTTTTAATGAGATTCAATTGCACATCAGTTTACAAAATAAATATTCAGAATTCGTTTTACCAAAGTAGTTATGAGGGGATTTTTTTTTATTGTTTTAGAGATAAAGAAATGTGTTTTATATTTATCAATTAAATAAATCCAAAAATACTTGTAAACAGTGTTGCCAGAAGTGGAGGTTTATTTTAAAAATTAAGATTTTTTTTCAAAAAGATCTTAAACTGAAGATATTGAATCAAAATTTTATACAAAAAATTTTCACCTTCAAGATATCTGGCAATACTTGATAATTTTCTGTAGTTAATACATAAATTCCCCATTTTTGTCAGCTATTTGTTTTTGCATATGAGAAAGCAGGAATGCTAGATATCGGTAAACCGTTGATTTTTTTAAAAGCAATCTTATATTTTAAATTTCATTTCACCAGCCAAATTTGCCCGAATAAGCTCCCCGCCAAAAAAATAAAATATATTAAAATGGAAACATTTTTGCAAAAAAGAATAGGTAAGTTAATTATTTTTATTTTTATATATTCATTAAATAAACATTACAAAATGTAATTTAATTTACAGATAATACATCCCCTTTTTCTGATACAAATGATGAATATTTAAATGTTGAGTGTAGAATGGTAAAATTTGGCGAAGTTGAAATTAGTTAAAAATGTATACATGCATATGTACATATTGTATTATTTATTGACAATTTTCATCATTAAATGTAAATTGTTTAACGCCAATTGGGAACTCGACGAAAAATTAAAAGCTTGGCTGATAAATACTGATGAGGGATTGCATACAGGTAAAATATGCTCAGTAAACCGTAAAACAACTGGAGGTAAAAAAGATTTGATAAATCACGGAAACACCAAAAAACATTTAGAGCAGTCAAGGGAATTTAAACCCACAGAGGCAGCAAGAACATAATAACAGGCTTTGTGGAAAGTACGGCTTTCGCTGAAATACATTTAGCCGCTTATTGTGCTGAACACAAAATTTCTTTTTCAACAATGGATCACCTGGTTCCCCTGATAACCAACAGTTTCGATGATTCCAAAATTGAGAAGGATATAAAGTCCGGCCGGACTGATTAGATTTGAAAATGAATGTCATAGGTAAACCTCAATTTGATTTCGTTACACCACTAATGCGCGATAATCATTTCTCCATTTGTGCAGATAAGAGTACAGACTGTTCAACAACAAAAAATTTGAGTCTGGTTGTAGGAATACAACACAAAAATGAATTAAATGATTTATTTTTTGTATGTATGGATGTAGTTAAGGCGGATGGTGAGGGTATTTACAGTGAAATTAAACATTTTTTCAACACGAATGACATTAACTACAAAAAATTTTCGGTCGGTCCAACACCGGGGTGTATCAAGGTTTTTTTGTGCAGAACTCCTTTTTGCGTTGGCGGCCTTCGGCCGCGCTTCAAAAAAATAACCCTGATCGATCCAACACCGGGGTGTATCAAGGTTTTTTTGCGCAGAACTTATTTTAGCGTTGGCGGCCTTCGGCCGCGCTTCAAAAAAAATAACCCTGGTCGATCCAACACCGGGGTGTACCAAAGTTTTTACGCGCAGAAATTCTTTTTGCGTTGTTTCCTGTATCTAGGGTACAATCTCTCTGTTTATTTTATTTTTCTTCGTTTACAAAATATATTAGTATGGCAACACTGATGTATTGACATTCACAACCATTTTGTTATTGTCAAAATTAATAAAATTGAAGAATGATTTAAATATTGAAATAAAGCTATTTTTGCAGCATCTAATATAAAACAAATTTCTAAAAACGAATTAGTCAAGTGTTAGTGGATATATCAGTGAAAAATATAAGTGTATAATTCATTTTAAATCGCAAAAATACGTACTTTAAATAGTTGAAATTTTCAACTTTAAACGTAAATATCTCGAAAACTATAAGTTTCCCGCGGCTATATCTATATATATTCTTGAACTGGAGGATCTCCTCTATCCGCTTATACCCATTTTATCCCGAAAGCCTGGGACTTTTTTCTAAAGCCGACCCCAAAAAAATCCGTTGCAGCGTTTTTGAAAAGAGACTGAATCGCCACAAATTTACGTTTTAAATGAAGAACTTCGCATAATTTTAATAAGAATAATTGCTTTTTCTATCTATCAATTAATGCAGACTACAAAACCTATTGAAATTAAAATCGAAATTGCGCTTGAATTCAAAAATAAATGCTTAAGATTCTATATAACTTTATGTACACAAATATTACAAAAATTTGATTTCAATGACGAAATTTTAAAGTGTATCGAATTGCTTGCACCAGAAAATTTATTTGAAAAAAGAAACGCTTCAATTGCTAAAATTTTTAAATATTTTTCCAATCTTGGACATGAAGATATTCAAGTGATAGATTCTGATTGAAGGGAGTTACGTCAAATCGATTTTAAAAAATATGGTTTTAGCTCACAAATGGATATTGAGAAGTTTTTTGGTTATTATTTTTAGCTTAAAGAAAATTTGATGACACTCCTATTTCCATCACTTAAAAAAAATTATTTGGAACATATTGACGTTGCCAGCTTCAACAGCGAATGTGGAGATAATTTTCTCTTAAATTAATTTAAGAGTTGAAAGTTTCAACAGGGAATGTGGAAAGAATTTTCTCTTAAACTAATTAAACTAAAAAACTGTAACTCGAAAACCGCTCAGTAGATTTTAATGAAATTTATACAGCTTTTAGAATACATAATAAACTGGGGCCTGATTGATTTTTAAGAACAATTAACTGTTGATTTTTTACCGAAAATCTAGAATAATTAAATTTTTCTATCACCGCAAGGATCTTTTTTGGAACTGGGTCAAACAGACAGCTATAACTTTGGAAATTAAAATATTTTTTTTTTTGAAACTTACGTGACTCAAGTCAAAACATTGTATAATAATGCCATATTACTACTTTTGTAAAATAACATGATTTAATAGCAAAAAAAAATTACTGAAAATCTTTTTCGCGCCTCTGACTACCCTTAACCCCTTAAATAGAAGTAAAATTCGTAACAAGCTTTAAACCAAAACTCTAAATGATATTCTTTACACGAAAAATTATTTGAAAAGAAACGAAATTGAATTTCATAATATTGACTCAAATGAAAACAAAGATTTGATAAAGCATTTAAAAACAACTTTTTAAAATATTTAAGTAATTTGAATAAAAATACGAGTATAAATAAATAATATCCTTTTAGCTACGTAGTAACTGTTGATGCTGAATTAAATTTGTTAATTTTTTGTTTGTTTATTATACTTTTACACTTTTTACAATTTTTACTTTATAAATAAATTTGAAGATTTCTATTTAATAAAACCTTTAAAAAAGATATTTATTTTTTAAAAAGGGTTTTTTTTTTATTAAATTTCGATCAGACTACATACAATACATTAACATACAACTTTCCTCGTTTTGTGTGACAGTTCATAGTGAAACAACAAAAAGTTCTATGTGAATTGGCCATAACCCTCTCGTACGCGAAAATCAACCGCTTAAGATAAAACTCGCTTTGCAAATTCAATTACAATCGTAGAACTGCTTCTAACTGTCTTGAATAGCTTGTCATCAGAAGTTAGAAGTTTGATGTTACTTCAGATGCAGTGTCAGCATGGTGAATATTTTCCACTATATCATTAATTCTATCATCTACATCATTTACATATTCATTTTCAATATCAGAATCTCTTTCTAAAGATTCCAGTATATCCTCTTCGTTAATTTAACGCCGCGTAGTCATTTCTGAACAAATTACATAAAGCGCGGAAAATATTATAGCGAGTAGTTACAAAGATGAAAGGTATACTTTGAGTAATTTTTCCCCTTTAAAAGAAAAGCTACTTTTTTCACCATAAGACATAGTGACACATTTATATAACTTTTTTTTGAAAGAAATAGTAAAAATTGATATCATGAACACTTACTAATTTTTTTAGGAAAATTTACTTAAGAAATTTACTTACTATTTATTTATAATACCTTAAAACTCTCTCACCACAAAATTTGTAATAAGAACATTGCTTCACGAAAACAATCTGTGCTCTGTGGTTAATGCAAATACATTTTTTTTTAATTGACATAAAGCTAACGCTAATAAAACATTTAACTTTAAAATTATATCCTGCATAAATATTTTTACTCATAAGTTTAATAAAATAAAGTTATGTTTTGGAGTTGAAATCCCTTATAGCGAAGTCCCATGCACATCGATTCAATCAACAGTATCCCGCGGGTTATCAACCATGTTAAATTCCCTTTTTTATTAGATTAAAATTAAATTTTATTACCTTTCGTTAAGCTTTGAGCACACATATCTTATTTGAGTTAATTGGGTTTATTTTATCATGAATATCTCGAGCCCAAAGTGAAATGCAAAATATACTAAAACTTTCAATATAAATTGGGCCAAATCATTAATTCTGTAAAATACTAAATACAAGGTTCTCTTGCTTCAAAAAGTCTAAGTTCCCTAGATAAAGGCGCAAATCAGCATTGTACTATTAGAAAGGACTTCGATTATTATTATGATTTCGATTATTTCGTCTGGTGCTCTTTGGAAACGTAACTTAATGAGTCCTCTGCAATTTTTTACATAAATACTTCAAAATGCTCATATTTCTGGGGTAATTGTATACTTTCACGGTCGCCTGGTTTTTTGGCTGTCAAAAATCGAAAAATGCATGGATTTTCATGATTTTTTTTTTAATGTTCGTTTTTACGGCGGATTTATGATTCAAATATCATTTAAATGTTTAAAATTTCTGACAGTTTCGTGGCTTTGGATATATTAAAAAGCCAAGTTTCTGTGAATAATCACTTATAGACTCCTATATGTCCTAGTCGATTGATTTTAATGATTTTTGCGTAATTTTCGATCGTATCGACAAATTTATCGATCGAAAAGGCTTCCGTGACTAGACCCATTAAACATAACAATCCATCCATGCTTTAATTTACTTACTTTTGCCCGGGACTTTTAAAGTCGGAATAATGAGCATTACTATTATTATCATTGTCACTTCCACGTTGCATTTTCCTAATAGTGCCAGTCCGTTCCCGCCCAGAGCTGCTCGTACCAGATGGGCTTACGATATCTGTATCACTATTGCATTCGATTTCATGGCGATCTTTTGAAACTGACATTGCGTTTTCGGTCGGGTCCGCCTGCAACAAACAGTATAAAACTATTCTTACATTCATTCAATGAAAAAATATTCAGTACTTATACTGACATACCATTTGTAAAACAGCAGAAGAAGAAATTGCCGCACCTGTGCTGCCGTAGTTGAGTTGCGAATGGTAACCGCTCGAGAGTATTTTTTTGTGTGCTGATGCGTGCGCGCGATACGCGCTCACACTTAATTTCATTGTGACATGAATACAAGATCAACATAACAATATTAAATTTAATTATTAAACAGCAATTTGGGTGAAAGAAATTGATTCTGCAAACCAAATACATGTGTTGTACAGCCAAACAGTTTTGTGGTGAAACTACAATAATTGGCAGTTACTTATTTCTTCTGCAGCATATAATAGTACACAATTTTTTTACATAAGGCCTCTTACATTGATGGATGACCCACTCCTGTAACAAAAATAGAAACATTATATTTTCTTTCCATTACCCGGTTAGGTACACGAACAAAACTTATATTATATAAAATATAAAAGGTATAGATTAAGACTAAATGGAGATTATACTTTTCTAAGTAGTGGTTCGTGTTATAAAAGGAACTGTTGATTCAATCAGTGAAGAACTGTACGGTGTATCATACATCTTCCACATTAAACAAAATACGTATCTGCTGTGATCGAATGGCACCTCTGTGCTGCATATAAATAAAAAAATTAAACGAAACAACCAAGGAAGGGTAAAGTTCGGCGCAACCGACCATTATATACTCTCGAATTCGAAATTCTCTCTTTTAGTTTTATTGACCTAGTGTTCATGTCATAATATGGGATGTAACTTGGGTATATGACGATTAGGAAGACGAATTAATAAATTTCATCAATTTCTGACATTAAACCACATAATACTAAATGTAACATTCTCATCTAAATTTAGTCAGATATTTGATATTAGCTCAGCAATGCGCCGACGTATTCTACAGTGGTTTTGTTGCCCTAGATATAAGATAGATTTTGGATATATTAATGCTCAGACTTCACTATCAATGATTCTGTAAGATTTGCTCTAATTTATTATTAAATCTTTATTTTCATTTAACATTACCAAGATAAGAAAACACGAAACAAAATAATAGATAAATTTATAATGTCAGTTTTGTTTTGAATAATAAGGATGCATTAAATTAAACAGATGTATGTTCCAGAAACCGAATGATATTGATTTGATTTCGTTTTTACAAACCAAATGATTTCAATTAAGGTGTCCTACAAACCGAGTGATTTCTTCTTTTTCGAAGTCTTTCTATTTTACATCGAAATAGCTGTTTGAAGCAAATGACATTTATTTTTCAAAAATTTAAATTTTCGTGAACAAACATGAGTGCTGCCGTGAGCAACGTTCATAGAATACAAGGTTATGACAACTTTGAAATCATATGTTTGATGAAGAAGTTGAAATAATTATCAAAAAAAGCTAATTAGCTGATAATTTACATGTTACAAAGAAGTTTTGCATTTAAAAAATTTATTTTAGTCTTCAAAAACATTTCAATTTAAAATAAAGTTTTAATTTTTCGCAAAAAAATTACACACATAGCAACTCTACTTGCCTGATAACATTTGAAAGAATGACATATTTAAATAAGTCAAATCCGTAATAAAATTTGTAAATTCGTGGCGGGCGCACATTGTTTATAAAAAACGAACATGAGAATCGTTTTTCAGGCAAATTCGATTTTCAAACCGAAACACTTCGTTTGTATGTGAAAGTGAAATGCGGTACATGGCTGAATATTTCCATAAAACGCCTTTTATGAGCATTTCTTTTATAATTTCAATCAAATTTGCACCTAGAGTCTGATATTTTCTCAATATATTTTGCACAATTTCTTTCTAATTTTGTACTTAGTGATTACCTAGGGTTTTGATTATCAACACAAAAATTTTGCATGATTCACTTTCTGGAACAGTCATAACTTTGATAATATCTGCATATTCAGTAATTGCTGAGTCAAAAACTTTTTGTAGGCTGTTAGTGTATTTAGATATCTCTACGTTTAATTTATTAAGTAAAACCTTAAAACTTTCCGCATAATTTTTCGCATATTTTCGGTAGGGATCCTGAGAGTGGGGATCACTTAATAATGACGCAGAACCCTTATCATTACTGGAAAAATTAATTTCATTGTCAATAAGCCGATAAATGATTAAAATATAAGATAGGTATTAATCGTAAAAACAACAGTGCATCCGCTACGATCATATATAAATTAGTAATCTAGGCATTTGAAAACATCAAAATTTGCTAACATATTCAGGGCAACAATTTTTTTTTTGTTTTATAGAGCTGTGATATAATCGGATTTCGAAAATTTTGAGAACAGAGTTGTCACACCCAAAATCACTACTTTGCACAAGGTTATATTTCAATATTTTCATTATTACTTGATTAATCAATTGTAAAAGTAAAGAGTCTGATGGAATTTAAAATAGAGTCATATGCGAAGTGGGCGTGATTCTATTCCGAGTTTCATTTTCAAACTGTGACATAAGAGAATATTATATTTTATTACAATATTTATAACTATTCAAATGTAGTTGTATTGTCTTTACGGAAAAATTTAATGCTTGTCAAACGGGTTTTAATCTTTATTCTATATATTATATGTATGATTAAAGTTAAAGTACCACTTCGTAATATTGGGCCCAGCTAATATTTTATGTATGTATGTACATATATAGGAATTTCAATAGTCCGTTTGACTGAAATAAAATGAGCACGTTGTCTAAAGCAAAATCTTTTTATTCTTAGTTTCCACATATTACGAGAATATTTAATGTCTACGTCCGGGCTTAAACTTGTGAACTACGATATTTCTAACGAGTATTTATACCGTAATTACACTTTCGTGAAAGGTGTATTTTTATGATTTGTCTTAAAGTTGTTGAATTCACACAAAATTAAACCCTTTTCACGAATAGCATTCAACTACGAGATGTGTTCAAAGGAAAAGATGAATTTTGATTTTACGCGAGCTGTATACATTCTATTACCAATATTTTGTTTTTGTTATAATCGGACACATATTTATGTTTATCATGTGCTTGCATTAGGAGCCAATTCCGATTACTAATATGTTTTTGACAACAGAAAAGGTTAGTCACGTTTTTATGTGCTCTTTGATTTTTGACTTTTGAAAGAAATGGATCAAAGAAAATATATTAAATTTTGCGTTAAAAATGGAATAAAGTGCTCTGGTGAGTCTACTTTGTCTCAAAAGTGTGTCTACTTTGTGTCAAGTGGTACAAGCGCTTTACAGAAGGCCGAGGACATGTTGATGGCGATGAGTATCCACCACGTCAACAAGCGAAGAAAATTCTTCTTGAAAATCTTCGAATCAATATTAGGGAAGTTGCAGAGGATGTTGGCCTATTAATCGGCTCATGCCATTCAATTTTTTCGAATGTTTTGGGCATGAAACCTGTGGCAGCGTAGTTTGTTCCTAAATTTTGAGCAAAAGCAATGTCGCATTAGTATCGCTCAGGAGTTGTTGAATGACGTCAACAACGATTCGGGTTTGCTCAAACGGGTCATAACTGGTGACGAAGCGTTGAAATATGGTTATGGTACGAAACCAAGGTCCAATCACCCCAATGGAAGCTGCCAGATGACCCAAGACCGAAAAACCAAGTTCGATAATATGTGAAGATTTTGCTCACTTTTTTTTGGATTACAATAGTGTGATGCATCATGAGCTCCTGCCAAAATTTACAGTTAATAAGGAAGTTATGCAACGTTTGCGTTAAGCATTACGGTGTAAACGATCGGAATTGTGGAAAAACAAAGCGTGAATTCTGCATCACTATAATGCACCAGCTCATGCCTCAACCACCGTATTTACCAGATTTGGCTCCCTGCGACTTTTTCCTATTTTCAAAGCTGAAGAAAACAATGAAAGGAAAGCGTTTTGCCACAATTGATGAGATCAAGTCAGAATCGAAGAAAGTGCATACTTCAGAAGAGCTTCGAGGATTGGAAAAAGGCTGGGCACAAGTGTATTATATCCAAGGGGGATTACTTTGAAGGGGACAAAATAAATATTGATAAATAAATAACTAATTTTCAAACAATTTCTAAATTCACCTTTTTCTTTGAACGCACCTCGTACACAACCTAAACAAGCGCCTAAACCGTCTCGCCGACGTTGAACGTGAGTGCATTACACAATTCATTATACCATGGTGAAATAGCATAGTATTCATTTAAACATTTACATTAATACGTCCATATGAATACATTGTGGGGTACTCAAATAGCTAAAGGCAATTGTTTTTATTATAATATTTTTCGACCGCCCCTGAGAGGTATGCTATCGTCCCATTTTACTCACAGTAGATAATCTGATGATTGACAAAATTACATATTTTGTGCTACAATAACATTAATGCATACAAGTATAAGAAATTATTCTAATTCTCCTATGAAATTTTCGTCTCTTTGATTTTCATTGACTTTAGATTCATTTGATGTTATGAAAACAAAAAAATACTCAAAGAGACTTGATACGATTGCAGAAGATTTAAGCTCCTGACTTAAATAAAAAGAAATCAGCAATTCTGCTTGTTTCTGTATGAATTTATATTTCTGACGCCTAGAGCGAAATTCTTCTCCAATTTACCTTTTATTTTCCCGTTCCTCACGTTAACAGGTGGACCGTAAAATATTTTTACAAACAACTAAACAAAAATCTTTTGTATTTCGGAATTAGCTGGCGAATCGCAGAAAAATATGTTACTTACATTTTTTTATTTTTACGATATTCTTTACAAATTACTCTTTGTTTTGAGACACTTCAATATTTTCAGAACTTAATCTACATATGTATATTGGTAGATATGGTCAAACAATTTTTTTTTTTAATTTATTTTTAATAGGTTTTTTTTTTAAATGCGGCAAATTTCATTTGACACGTTTTATAGCATAAAGTACTATGGTGCAGACTTAATAGTTTTTAACCGCTTCATGTCAGAACAGCCCACCGTAGAGTATTATGCTTTGAACACAAAGACAACTGCACGGTAGCAAAATATTCTTGTCTGCAAATGTCGTCTTGAAGCTAGCTTCGTTAACATTTTGAAGACGGCAGCGACATATCAAACATCTGATGTACGCAACTTCATTGTAGCCGACTAACACTTTTCACTTCAATGAAATTTAAATATTTTATTCAAAGTGAAATTTTATGTGTAAACAAGAAAAAACGTTAACTACGGTTGCAGCGAAGCTCTAATACCCTTCACAGAACTTGATTCGGATAATTCAATTTGTAACTATATGATATAGTGATATGATCTGAACAATTCGTTCGAAGATTGCATTATTGCCTTAGACAATAACCCACGCCAAATTTCGTGAAGATATCACGTCAAATAAAAAACTTTCCCACACAAGTA